ACAATGTTGTTTTTCAAAAAGATTCTATTGTACATTTTTTTAAAACACCAGACTGTTTAAAATGTTTCAGCCAATCCCCATCGCCACCATCAAAGTTCTACAGCTCTACGAAACAAAAAACTCCCGTCACTCAGTTATGATACTCGGAAACACGTGTACTGCCAAAACGGTTACGTGGAAAATGTTGCAAGGAGCTAACAGGATACTGAAGAAGCAAAAGAAGCCTGGATTTAACAACGTCGAGGTGTTTCCTTTAAATCCAAAGGCGTTAAATTTGGCAGAACTGTACGGTGAATATAATTTAGCCACAGGCGAATGGTTGGATGGTTGTATCAGCGCAATTATGAGGCAAACGTGTCAAGGTAAGATTACAATTTTTTTTTGCTGTATATCTACAGAAATATTTAGAAATTAAGACCTTTCAATATGCTAGAATTACCTTGTAACGATAATATTTTGCCTATCTATTAGTCAGATTATGGGGTATATAATTGGGGATAGAAACTAAGGGGATTGAGATAAAGCAAGCAAAATAATCTATACTTGTGCGTACGGCACTCAGGGGTTAATTGGAGAGCTGGGTCCTGGATAAGTTGAATCAAAGGAGTCGGATTGGGGTAACTACAAAATGAAACAAAGGGGTACTTACATAAATCTCCTGGAACAAATGAACAAAGTATGACAACAAGAAATACCTCTAGCTATTTCAATTGGGACGCCGCTTCGAAAAGACTTTCTGCTGGAAGAAAGAAAGGTTCTACTTTCCTTTAATTCACATATTTTACACTTAAACTTCTGGAAACCTTGTTAACATCTCTGAGGTAGAAGCTATCTGGACACCATCAACGAAAAGATTTATCCATTGGAGGCTGACACTTGCATACTGGCACATTCAAATACAAAACTGTTCCAATAACATACTAAATGAGGTGAAGAGGCATTTGCACAAACTTTGAAAAAACGGGATTTCTTAAAAAAAACAGGAACCAAATTGTTCACTTTTCAAACATTATAAAATCTTCCGAAAACGAAGCAGTGGTCACTCTTTTAAATATGACATATTACATAGAGTGAAAACTCCACTATTTTTGGCGAATTAATGCCGGGTCACTACATAACAGTTAACACTCTCCGTTCAGTTAGCAACTCTTCAAACCTAACGTGAATTCCCTTCGATCGTAAAACCAAACGCAATTCACTTCCTCTTACGTCTTCTTTTCCGATGCCTGTTCGTGCCACCGAACTCAAACAAAAATAAACCTCTTTGACTATCTCGCCAAATAACTTGAAACCTTTCCAGTTCGAAATTAACACTTACGAATACATAAAATTAATGATTTTATGTATTTATAATGACATACCAATAAATAAATTCTTTCTTGGGAACTTTGAATGCGTACACAAAGACAAAAACTCAGGGGCGTACTACAAAATTTTAGACATAAGTATTTTATAGTTAAAACAAATTTAAAACCATACAACCTATGGTAATTTAATACCAGGAATATCATAGATTTTATGTATTCTATACAAGAGTAGAATAAAAATTAGATACGATTGGATGATTCTGAATGCAAGCATCAGCGAGTCCATGGAGTTGTCATTATAACGGAGTAACTAACTGCATTTTCTACTTGCTTGATTTTTGATGTAGATATTTTTACACCTTGAAACATTCTACGTAATTTTTTTAGGAATTGCTTTCTAGAAACTTAGTGTTAATCGTACGCAATATTTTCAACAACATTGCCCCATTGACGTCACATCTTCTTCTTCTTCTTCTTCAGCCTTAAGTAATCTAACTTTGGACATAGGCCTCCCCCAAATCAATCTAGTGTCTTCTATTTTGCGTCACTTGACTAGAAGTTGTGTCTTTCGATATTCTTAATGTCATCAGCCCATCTCATTTGTGGTCTTTCTCTGCTTCTCTTTCTTAACCATGGTGTCCATTGTTGTATTTCGTGGTTCCATCTCTTATCCTTCTGTCGGGCATTGTGTCCTGCGAAGCTCCATTTTAATTTGGGAGCATGTTCTCCTGCGTCTTTTACCTTGGTTGTGCTTCTAATCCATTTATTTGTTTGTTTGTCTATAAGTCTCACCCCGATCATTAATCTTTCCATCGCATTTTGTGCCTTTACTATTTTATCCATATTAGACTTGTTCTATTTTATTACTTGTTATATTATATTCTATTATTTTCATTATTTGTGTTTTTTCGAAGCTCATCTTAAGATCTACTTTTTCCGAAGCTTGAAATGGTTGCGTCATCATGGTCTTTATTCCTTTATCTGGCCAGTTAATGTCTTTGAAGACGTCTTCCAGTTCAAGTGTAAATAGCTTTAGTGAGATAACATCGTTATATAATTCATCGTTAGATAACATAGCTTTGGTTCGTCTCCCTGGTGAACTCCTCTGTTAATTGGTATAGCTTTGGTTTTTGCATCTATTTGTATTTTCATTGTAGCTTTCTTGTAAATATTATGTATGAGCATTCTATATCGGGTGTCTATCCTGCAGTTGTTCATAGCTCTCTCTATTGCCCAAAGTTCTATATAGTCGAATGCCTTTTCATAATCAACGAAGCCAAAGTATAAGTTCAAGTGATATTAATTGGCTTTCTCTATTAGCGTTCTGACTGTAAGAAGATGATCCGCTGTACTGTAACTCCTTCGGAAACCTGCCTACTCAACCGGTTGATATCTATCGAGCTTTGACATTACCCTGTTAGTTATTACCATCGAGCAAAAAGACAAAAGAGGGAATCTAATCCTTATGAAAAGGAGACCAAAAAAGTGGCCTCTGATGTCGGACATATCCGGAAATGCGAATGCGCCAAATTTAAATTTTCCGACACTTATTAACAGTAGCTATATATATTTTTCAGAATGTATCTTAGACGAGAAAGTTTTAATTAATTATTAACGGAAATAGTCTAAAATGCGACACAATTGTTAAAAAACTTTAATATAAATAAGATTTCATGTGACATTTGGGACAAACAATAACATAACCCAACTAAATTTGATGTCAAACAAGAAAAGAGACTCTCTTTCCTTGTTTAATGTGGCCTCTAAAGATCGCACTTCCTGTCTAACAATATTTTTGTCTTCACTACCTTTACATTCCCTCTTTTGTCTTTTTGCTCGATGGTTATTACTCTCATGAACAGTTTGTACATTTGGGGCAGCAGAGAGATTGGCCTGTAGTTCTTCAAATCACCTCTGTCTCCTTTTTTGAAAGAAAATATTGTCAAACTTTCATTCCAATTATCTGGGACTTCCCTTCTGTTAAGACATTCGTTGAAAGAAATTTTCAAATCTTCGAGAACAATTTCATTACCCTTCTTAAACATCTCTACAAGTATTTCATCTGGGTCCGGAGACTTATTGTTCTTTAGTTGTGTCATAGCTTGTTTTATTTCGAAGGATTTTATATTAGGGAGTATTTCTGAGTTGACAATCGCTATTTTTCTCTTAAGATCTTCCTTGGCAGTTCCTGTTTGAGGAATATAAAACACGGTAAAATGTTTGAGTTTATGTTTCTCACGACTTTTAGGATTTCGTTCTTTTCTCTTATTTCTTTTCCATCTTTCTCCTTCAATGAGATTATTATACGCTTTTTTAAGTTTGATCTTAAGCATTTCAGGTCTCGGTGCTTTTCTATTATTTTTTTCTACCTTGTTTTCAGTATAGATCGTTAAATCTTCCTTTACTCCCTTCTTTATTTGTTAATTTAATTATTTGAAACCATCGGTGTTTCGCTTTCTTTCGCTTAAAAATGTGCGTCTCTTTTTCATCAACCGTTTTTGTTCCATCACTTATTCTGTCTTCTTTCTTTTTCATTTTCTTTGCAACAGTTAGTCTTGCTTTTAAGAGCTTTTGTTGTATTTCTATATTAACTGTGTTCATGTCGAAATATTTTTGTTGATAATGTTCTACAAATTCTTTTCTTAAGACTTCTCTGTACTCATTTTGCTTCTGTCGCAATTTGCGAATAGTGATGTGATGCCACATCACTATTCAAAATATTTAAATTTCACTAAAAAACACCCTACAATCCACTACAAAACAAACTGCTTTGCTTCTGCAAGATATCCGATTTTTGTTGGTTTTTTTTAGCACAGATCAAAGGGTTTCGGAGCGGACGTCAGATATTGCATCTCCCGGGAATTAACACAGACTGAAAGATTTACAAATGTGTCCAGATCTGTGGTCAGCTTGTGATGATACATCTGCAGATGCATCTGCAGACGCGTCTGTCGATATGTAGTGGAAGCATAAAGTATGTTACCGCGACCTATACAGCAAATCTATTTTTCAGACGAAAGCCCAGACGAAAAATGGATTCTATTTGACGGTCCCGTGGACGCCGTGTGGATTGAAAACATGAACAGTGTGATGGACGATAACAAAGTACTTACTCTTATCAATAGCGATAGAATAACGATGCCGGAACAGGTGTCTTTGTTATTTGAAGTTGGAGACTTGGCAGTTGCTTCTCCCGCCACTGTCAGCAGATGCGGAATGGTATACAACGACTATAAGGACTGGGGTTGGGAACCTTACGTGACTTCGTGGGTTAAGAGTAAAGCTTCGTACGGCAATGAATTTATGGAAAGGGTAAGTATTCTTGGTTTATTAAAATACAGAAAAAATGGCTGAATGGCTGATATCAAACAGAATTTAAAGAATTGATGGATTCGACCGTTACTTGATGTAAATTCATTTTATGTAACAATAAACACTGAAAACTTTGTTTTCAAACTTCCACAAAATTTATTTTAAATCTTATCACTACAGCTGTTTCGACTTGAGAAAGGCTATCAGCCGAAACAGCTGTAGTGATAAGATTTAAAATAAATTTTGTGGAAGTTTGAAAACAAAGTTTTCAGTGTTTTATTGTTACAGAATTTAAAGATTTTAAAGATTTCTTTTTTTAAGCAATATGGTTATAGAAAACTGAAAAATACTTTTTCCATTGCCAATAATTATAATTTTGTAGATGACAGATCTGTTCACAATTTACGTTAAGCCCATTCTTGAATTTAAACGACTTAACTGCGAAGAGAACGTACAATGTGCAGAGCTGAACTTGGTCATTTCCTGCTGCAATCTTTTGAATATTTTTATGAGCAAGGAATTTGGATTTAACCCGAAGAACGAAGAAAAGTTTTACGATGCTACTAAAAGTTGGTTTTTGTTCTGGTAGGTATTGTTTCGAAGCTATAGTAGAGTATTAAAAATGTAAACACCACAATCATGAAAAATGATAATTGAGTTTTAACGAACACGCTGTTTCCAGGTTGTGATTATAGATACTTTGTCAACTTTTATATTAATAGGTAAAGAAATAATAAAAAAGACTTACTCACAATCAATTTAATTTAACTATCAGACGACCGGTTTCGCTTTCTACAATATGCAAAGCATCCTCAGGTCTCGATACAAAGTTAAACAAATGCTGAAATAACAAAAACCCATATTAGGATGTTGTCCAATAACGATAAACAAAGTAGATGTTGTAAATTACAATAATTATGCCAATATTACATGTCTGTGGTTTTATTTAAATGAGTAAGTTGAATAAAAGGTATAAAAGTTTTAAAAGTTTAAACAGACAAGGTAAGGCCCACAAATTGTTATAAAATAGTCTCTTCGATTGTAATAAAATAATAAATGAGCAGATAAATAAATAAAATAAGCACTACTTACATGCCGGTACTCTATTAATTGATGGATGGTAGAACATGGTTGAAACTACTATGTATTGTTGAATGGAGAACTCAATTCTATTATTGCAGTTGTTTGACAGTAAACGGGAAGTTCTTGAGGAGATAGATTTGATCCAAAATTGGATCAAATCTATCTCCTATATGTTTCTTTTGACTTAGTCGTATGCCTGTTTGAAGTCTACAAATACGTTGTAAACATCAATGTCATATTCTCATGATTTACTTAAGATCTGTTTGACTGTAAATATTTGATCCAGTGTCGATCTTCCCCGTCGAAAGCCGGGGACTTTACATGCTGTATATAGTAGAGAAATTCTAGCAATTATAGCGTCTGAAACTCATTTGCGAGTTCTTCTTCGAACTTCTCTTTACATTCCTGAATCTTGAATTTTCCATGTTGTTTGTTCTTTGTTGTCTTTCGTTTCTTTCTTTGTTAACTCTGCATCTAAATTTGGTTTAGATTAAAAGATGGTCTGATCTACAACACGCTCCTCGTCGTGTTTTCACATCTGAGATACTACTGGCTACCTTTTTGTCTATCAGCACATGGTCGATTTGATTGGTTGTGGTTCCATCTGGTGAAATCCTACTCACTTCCTACATTTTTTATACTTGAATGTTTATTCCTTCGCTTAAATAATTTTCATTGTATTTTCAGCCAGTTATTGTGCACTAGGAAGATAATAAATACCCGTCGATTTCTTTGTTAAGATAATAACCGAAATATTTTTTAGTGTCATATGGTCCATTTGCAGTACTACGGATGAAGAAGGTAGAAAAAAACTGGACGCATATATACGGGAACGTGAAAGCGTTTTTCCGATTAAAGACACCATATATGAATATTTTGTTGAACAGCCTACGTTTGGTTTTACTGCTTGGTCGGAGAAATTGCCGTATGCATGGCGATACGAACAAGGGTAAGACAAATCCACCACACAACCATAGAAAAATATTGTTTTTCATACAAAATAAGTATTTTGTTTATTTTTAATGCAATCAATCAGAGAAATATTAAATTAACTGAAACTATCTTCAATAAATCGACACAAATTCTAACATTTGCTGATTATATCGTTATAGTGACCGGAAGTATGTCAAACATAGAGCAGTGTTTTATGGAAGTTCACGGAGCAAGAAAACACCAAACTCAGTCGAGTTTGGTTAATGCGAAACTCGAGGGACTCGAAATATTACGAATTATTGAGTATATAAAATATCAAATGGTTCAAAATTTGTGAGAAAAAAATTAATAAAACTTCGAATTATTAAGTATTGATCAATTATTATTCATTAACTGCTATTCTATAACTATGACAAAAGTTTAGAGGTACATTTGTGTACATACATTTATGTATTCACAATGTAAATTAATCAATGTTTCGAAAGAACTAAAAGCACATTGCTACTGCTCAGACTGCTCAAAACAAAATTGTTAAGAGAAAAAGTGCCTGAAATTCTTTTTAATCACTTTCGTTTTGTAGACAGAAGGTTTGTAAGGTATCGAATAAGGATCTTTGCTTCCTTAACTGACACCTCTGCCAAAGGTTCTGATGTATCGTACTCATCTTCATCGCTACTTTTTTTTATTCGTATCTGTCGCAGATAAAATTTCGACATCGGTTAGTGAACCTAAGACAGCAACATCTTCATCCACTTGTACAAAGTCAGGAAAACTCACACCGATGATATGGTTATATTGCTGGTTCCTCATCATCCATAAGTATTGGAAGATTTTTCTGATCTTCTTTTAAGAAACCGGATTTTTTGAAGCAGTTGAGAATTGTTAGGGGTGTTACACCTCTCCATGCCTCGTGAATCAATAAAATAGCTGTCAGAATCGTGATATTTGCAGTTAACTACTTGTCGACAGATTCTAAAACAAGATTAACAATTTCTTCAAGGAGTCAGCCCTAGACTCCAACACAGATCAGAGGTAATGTAAGTCGATAAAACCTCACCAGCTACAGGGGGTCATATAAGATGCATGTCATTTTTTATTAATACACAATTTAAGAGTCTATTGCATTTACCTTAATAAACACCATGAAGATTACTTTTTAAATCTGGATGTCCATCCAATGTTTTTTATGTGGCCATACAATGTTTTTTTTCAACAACTTTTTATTAAACTGATGATGGAATGATACAATTCCGAAAAGATCTTTAAAATAAAAGTTTTAAGCTTTTAATAAGCGCTTTTTTATACCATAATACACACGAACAACGTGCTTTGTATTCAACAGGTATACTAGCCACTCCTGATATCTCCACTTCATGGTTTGTTCCAATTTCACTTTTTAAAAAATTTTATAATTATTCTATTATGATGGGAGATACTTACTTTTAATCCAGAGCTACTCTGCTATATCTGCTTTATTTACTTACTCAAGTTCTTGAGTACTAAAAAGTAATTTGCGAAGAATATTTGCCTGGTGGATCGATAGGTCGTGGAGTGCAAATTTAGCATCTGTCTACTTTGTATATTGTAAATTAATATTAATGAGATAAATGGATATTTTTATTATCTCTTTTAATTCTAGATGTCCTTTCTACAAAATCACCGTTCCAACAGTCGACACCATACGATACGACTTTTTATTGAAATCTCTCTTGATTAACGGATATCCGGTATTGATGACAGGTCCTGTGGGCACTGGAAAATCTTCGGTTGCTCATTCTGCACTCGCTGCTTTGGACACTGAAAAATATACGATCCTAAATGTCAATATGTCAGCGCAAACTTCTTCGAACAACTTACAAGATTCTATAGAGAGTCGGCTCGAGAAACGAACAAAAGGTATGTATTTATTTGCATAACTCACAAAATCATAGGTAATCATTGTAGATTGCAGAACATCATTTAATTCAAATAAATACAAATAACTACAAACTGTTGCGACAAGAATGTTGCTTCAACTAATTTTTAAATAATTTTAAAATGTTTGTCCTTGTTTAGTGTAGTGTTTGTACAATTTTATGTTTAATGTTATGTTTATTACATTTTGCGCTGGTTGGATAGCCCAAAACTGATGAAATTTTCCTGATGATGCTTTAGAAAGCGAAAGTACTTGAGCAAGATTTAATTAATAAAATTGTGCTCGATATCTGCCTTTAATTTTATCAAAAAAAAAAATTTAGATACAAGATGGGTTTTTAAAATTAAAGATGGAACACATAAAGCAAGGTTGGTTGCATAGGGTTTTCAAGTACACGAGGAGAATCCTCTAAAATCAACCTATGCCCCTGTGGCAAGAATGAGCACAGTGAGAATCAATCAATCAATATTCTTTATTTCATCTGACTTTTACAAGTATTGAAATGCGTCAAAATACAATCTAAAAAACTATAGGTACATAGGTAGTAAAAAAAGTAAAAACTATAAGCACATAAAACATAAAATATCCCCAAAACATACAAATTGTTAAAAAGATGCCTGCAAGTATTCCTCTGACGAGTAGAAAGTGTTTGCCAGAAGTAAGTCCTTAACTGTTCTCTTAAATACATAAATATTTGACTCTTTAACGTAATTAGGTAATTTATTATACAAACTAACGCATGTTGGGTAAGGACCCTTGCCCACAACAGTCAAGTGACGAGCAGGGGTCACCAAATCATTTCTGTAACGAAAATTGTAGCCACTCATTAAGGAAACATCATTTCTGCAAATAAAATTACATCTATGTGACTTTACATAAACAACACAACTGAAAATATACAGAGAAATTACAGTTAAAATATTTAATTGTTTAAAAACTGGTCTACAGGAATCCAAGCGCCTTCTAAACGTCATGGTACGAATAATTTTTTTTTTTTTGAAGAACAAGCACCTCATTAATTCGCGAGCAATTTCCCCAACAAACTAAGCAATATTGCAAAATTGACTGTACATGAGCAAAATAGTAAAGTTTCAAGATATCTAGGGAGACGAAATTCCTAAGTTGCCTTAGAACATAACAGTGTACAGACAATCTTCCCACTACAGAATCAACGTGAGAACTCCAAGACAAATTAGAATCCAGGTAAACACCTAACAACTTAGTGGAGTGGCTATTTACCACAGACCCATTGTCAAGCTTTACTAATGGACTCATCTGCATAGTAGAAGGTGAAAAGGTTACCATATTGGTCTTTGATCCATTTAAGATTAGGGCATTATTTAAACAGTAATGAGTCATACTTTTTACAAGACAGTTTGCTTTTTGTACTACATGAAAAAAATTATTGGAATTTAGTGCAACTGTGGTATCGTCAGCAAATTGAGTGACGTAACAGTCTGATTGCTGTTCCAACTTTTCTCCTCGAACGCTTATTGCATCAGAAAAATTATCTAATGGATTCCGAACCAAACATGTTGAGCTATCGTTTATCAGTTGATTTAAATCATTGACGAAAATCAAAAATAAAAGAGGGCCAATGATACTTCCCTGTGGAACTCCGGAGAGGACACTTTCTTCTGAAGAAAATATTATATTCCCATTCACATTGACCTTAATTTTTTGAAACCTTTTCGATAAAAAGGTTTGCACCCACTTTAACGCAGTTCCTCTAACACCACTATGATAAAGTTTTTCCAGCAGTATTGGATGATTTACAGTTTCAAAAGCTCGTGCTAAGTCAAAAAACAAACAGATAACTTTATTACCCTTATCAAAGTTCGATAAAATATGATTGCACAGCGCTAGTAGTGCATCTTGCACACTTAGACCTTCACGGAAACCAAATTGAGACTTTTCTATAATGTTTTGCCTTTTAATATACGAGAGGAGACGTGTATGAAATGCCTTTTCATATATTTTTGAAAACACAGATAAAAGTGATAGGCCTCGATAGTTATCAAATTTTGATTTGTCACCTTTTTTATGTATAGGCACAACTAGAGCAGTATTTAGAATTTGAGGAAAAATCCCTTCCTGAAATGAAATGTTTACTAGAAATGTTAATTGTTTATATATGTTATGAGATACATGTAATAACATAGAATACGGGATCTTATCCACTCCAGCAAAGGATTTTTTGAGATATCTTTAATTATACTCTTTATTTCTTCATCACTAACAGGATAAAGGAAATGGGAGTGTATAGGCGAAGAAAGATTCTTAGGATTATAGTCAGGTGAAGTTTGACTAATTAAATTTTTTACGGAATTCGAAAAATGTTGACTAAAAGATTCAGCTATATCATGAGGGTCATCCACAGAAATTCCCAAATTATTTTTAAATTTACTTGGGTATTTAGAAGAGTTTCGATTTTTACCTCCGACAGTGTTTCGATTTATGATGCGCCAAGCCTCAGCCGTACTATTCTGCGCATTTATCATTTTATTATTGAAATAAGTTTGCTTGGCTAACTTAACTTTGTATTCATGATTTTTTTTTAGAATGTTATACCGTATTCTGAGCTCAGGACTTTCTGAATATTTTATAGATCTGAAAATGTCTCTAATAAAATCTCCCTCATTTATTAAATTAGAAGTCAACCATCCCTTGTTTTTAAAATGTTTAGAAAATTGTCTAGTATTCACCGTTTGCAAAGGAAATGCTTTATCGAATAGTTCCAATATTTTTTCATAAAATATGCAGAACTTGTTATCGGAAGATAGATCTGACTTTAGAAAGCACCAAGATTCCCTAGAGAGTAATTGATTAAAATAATTAATATTAAGATTGCTATTAAAATCACGTTTATAAACAATATTATCCACCAAAAAAGAAGCAAAAAAGAAGCATTCAAGTTGTATTCAACTTTCTGTAAAAAGTGATCGCTCACATCGGTATAAACAACAGAACAAGATAAAAATATAATATTTACATTGCAGAAAATATTATCAATCACACTTTTAGAGTCTCTATGTATTCTAGTATGACTGTATATATGTATATATATATATATATATATATATATATATATATATATATATATATATATGAATGAAGAATGATGCTGGCTCATACACTACAAAGAGATTAGAAAATTTATCAACTTGATGTGCCCACAGCTTTCTTAAACGAAAAAATTTGATTCATAAATATATATATTTATCCTCCACAAGGACTAATAATAGTCATAGATAGGTTTTAAAATTAAATAGAGCACTATATGGTTTAAAAGAGTCACCAAAATGCTGGAATCTTACTTATAGTAGAGTTGTAACAGAGAATGGATTTATTAGATCTAAATCGTCTATATATAGGAGAAGACATATTTTGACACATTGACACATTGTTGATGTGGAAGATATAATATTAATAGGATATGAACAAAAAATAAAAGAAACAATAGATATTTTAAAAAACAATTTTTGTGCCAAGGACCTGGGTGAAGTGAATAACTTTTTAGGAATGACAATATTAAAAGAAAGTGGCAATCTCTAGAATACAAATCATAATTTTGTACAAGTTAATCACAGCTTTTAAAAAAAATTGCTTCAATTTATTACTTTTCTAATCATTTTTTAGGTCATTATGCTCCACCACGAGGCAAAAAACTGGTATCATTTTTGGATGATATGAATATGCCCGCCAAAGAAACGTACGGTTCCCAGCCTCCTTTGGAGCTTCTACGACAATGGATCGACTATGGTTTTTGGTATGACAGGGCAAAACAGGCTAGAAAATATGTCGAAGTAAATATAAATTTTGGATTCCTATTTTTTGTTGTTGTTTTTTGGTCTACTCCAAGTTGATCTATTCGTTTCATTGTACGACATTGTCATTATCATTGAACGACATTATTTTAAGCCTTGTTTATTTGTTTTGCAAATTTCTTTTTATTTTATTTTTGTTTTTCTCCTTCTATTTAAATTCAAGCATTTTTGATTTTCCTTGAATTAGTAATTTTTAATAATACTGGTGTCTATGATTCTACTTTATTTATCGGTTTTCCCTGTTTGGGGATTGTGATTAGTAAAGTTGTTTTTTTGAGCTGCATTTTTGAGATTTGTGAGTTAAACGATGGTTGTGAGGTAATCGGTGTAATATTTCTCCTATTATTAAGTCAAAATCCGAAGCCATTTTGGGATTGATTTGGTCTGCAATTAAACATATCAAAGACAAAGATCATGATAGTGGATAGACTACACAACAATCATCCACACATAACCACAATTGACCGGTTCGAGGTTGTGAGCTCATACTTATATCTGGGATCATTAATCACAAACACAGGATCATTACAAAAAGAGATTAAACGTAGATGTGATCTAGCAAAAGTTGCCACAGCAAAAATGACCAAAATATGGAAGGACTGTCAAATTTCAAGAGCGATAAAGATGAGGTTGATCAATTGTTTAATATTCCCAATACTGACCTACGGATGTGAATCTTGGACTCTGAGACAATCGGAGAGAAGAAAGATAGACGCCACTGAAATGTTCTGTTGGAGACGAATGTTACGAATTCCTTGGACCGACCGTAGAACAAATATTTCAATTTTAAGAGAGCTAAAAGTTAACCAACGACTCTCTAGTAAAGTCCATCTCCAACAATTAAAATATTTTGGGCATGTTATGAGAGCAAACACAGAAAACATGGAAAGACTCATAATACAAGGAAAGGTAGAAGTCCGAAGATCACGAGGAAGATCCCCAACAAGATGGATATATCAAATTACAGGAATATGCCAAAGACCTATGCATGAATTAAAAGAAATGACCAGAGACAGAGATCTCTGGAGACGGACAATACACGACATCACGTCGACCACTACACTCCCCTGGGGGGTCAGGATTGAAGAGAGAGATTGTTTTTAATTAGTTTGATTACTTCTTTGTATGTTTTATTATTTCTTGATCAGTACTGTTAACTTCGAGTTCTGTATCCTTATCATCGTCATTTTAGGCTTGATATTCTTCTTCTTCATGTATCTCATTCTTTAATCATACTGGCGATCATCACTGCCTATTTTACTCTATCTGCGGCAGTTATGAAGAGTTCTATAGTTGTTGTTTCACTCCACTCCATTAAAGTTTCAACCAGGACATACGTCGACTTCCCTGTCCTCTTTTTCCTTCCATTTCCCTTATATAACCAACGTACCAATAAAAGAAACTTGAAAAGTTATTTATTGTAGATGATGCACGTGATAGGAGCTATGGGACCACCAGGTGGTGGCAGAAACGTAATATCAGAACGACTGCTCAGTTGCTTTAATGTTATCAATATGACGTTTCCTGAAGATGAAACATTATCAAGGATCTTTGGTACCATGCTTGGGCAACATCTAACAGATTTTGATGAGATGGTCAAATTGGTACGTACTAAATCTATATAAAAATTATGATAAAAAGTACTATCATTTTGATTCTTGTAACAGGTCGGAAGAGAAATCACAGAAACAACAATCGATCTCTACAAGAACGTTATCGTGAAGATGCTTCCAACACCGGCCAAAATGCACTATCTCTTTAATTTGAGAGATATTTCCAGAGTCTTTCAAGGAATGTTGCGGAGCCATAAAGACTATCAGAATGACAAATCTACGTTGCTCAGGCTGTGGATACACGAATGCTACCGAGTGTTTTATGACAGACTGATCGATGAACAGTAAGTTTGAACTTTAATAATTGAAGTAAGCATTAATTTTATCAGTTAGACATGTTTATTAAGAGTTTTACTTTTGTATTTTTATTATTTATTAATGTTAATGGTATGGTAACGTAAAGGTTAAACAAGATGGTTATAAAATTCTAAGGAGCATCTAAAAATCTCGACAATTTGAAGTGAAATCACCTGAGAAAATTGTGTGTACCTAAGTCATGACTTCACTCTATGTACAGATTGAACCAAATTAAAACGGAACATACAATTTAATACATGTCTGTTTGAACTGCATTTGAAATAGTGGACCAATATAAAACTTGGACAAAAATAAATCCATACCTGGGTATAGGCATTGTATAAAATATCGTTCAACTATCTGTCTCGCAACAAAGTTGTTTGCGTAAGACAGGTTTGTCTAAGGAAGTGATAATAGTTCAGGAAATAAAGCTCCAAAAAAGTTAAAACCTCGCAATTTTTTCGTCCTGCATGTATCCAGTTGAAATTTTAAATGAAGGTAGGTGATAGCCCAAGGATCAAAATCTATATCGAACCGAAGTCCGCTGAAGGGTTTTAGGGGTGAAAACTACCCCTAATTGTCAAAAATTATAAAATAACATATTAAACCTGAATATCGGTAAGATTTGGTTTGAATTAGTTAAATAATGATTATTTTATACTTTCGAATAGAGTTCCATCATATTTCAACCCTTAAAAAGCAACCTTTGTTAGAGATTAATGTAAAAAATTACTAATTCTAAAAAAATGATTTCGCCTTCGATTGATTTGGATAAAAATTTGGATTTAAGCTCAATTCACCCGCTGCTTTATAGTTTATGTCATGTCGACAAACCCTGATTGTTCTTAGGGGTGAAAACTACCCCTAATTGTCAAAAATTATAAAATAACATATTAAACCTGAATATGGGTAAAATTTGGTTTGAATTAATTAAATAATGATAGTTTCGTGCTTTTGAATAAAGTTCCATCATATTTCAACCCTTAAAAGCGACCCTTATTAGAGATTAATATAAAAAAATTTATGTCATGCCGATAAACCGTGATTGTTCTTAGGGGTGAAAACTACCCTAATTTTCAAAAATTGTAAAATAATATTACAAATCTTAAGATCAGTGAAATTTGGTTTGGATTGGTTAAATAGTGATTTTTTTATACTTTAAAATACAAATTCATACATTTTCAACCCTTAAAAATCAATTATTATGAGTGCTATAGGTGAAAACAATTTTTTGCCAAAATTTTGCAACTTTTCAACTTTTCAAAATCACCCTTTACAACATTGCAGTTTTTATAAACTATTTTATAAGATATAAATTGAAAAAAGTAAAATTAAATACAAAAAAATTTATCAACATAAAAAGGCACCATTTATTCTTATACATTTACATAAATAGTTCAAAATATTTAAATTTATAGGTAAAACAATTATAATATTAATTTTATTCGTCATCAATTACATCTTCATCGTGATCTATGTCATCCTCATCTTCTTCAATTATTGGTGGACTGTTATTCCATCCTTCACCTGAGCACCCAGAACAAGTAGAGTTACAGTATAAACCAACTTTTCTGCACCCACATGAAACGCCGCATACTTTTTTGCATTGGCAAAAAATAATTTTCAAAATTCATCGGGTGCAGGTTGTTTGTTCATGCGTACGGGTAATAACAAACCATCTTTGGAAAACCATCCCCAATCTGTTGCTCTGATATTTTCATTGTCAAGCCATAGACATATGAGCAGATGTTTTATTCTGTTGTATGGGATTTCAAAATAAGAACGCTTAAAATTTCGAATGTATAACGCCCCACTAGCTAATATACCGGTTTTTTAGAATATTATGCTCCGAAATGTACTGTACTATACTAATAGAATTTTCCGGAAAAAAATTAACTAGTTTTTTTAACGTATTTCCTTTAATTTTTAACGATAGAGTGTTTCTTTAAAAACGATTCGTAGAGGTTTTTAAGAGCTACAAGGATCTGTGAATTAAATCTTTTTGGAACCCTTGTTTTTTAAATGGGGTGAGTTTAAAGGGCTCGAAAAAGATGGTGCTTGATCGTAAATCGATGCTTTAAACGGCTATATCTCGCCAAATATTCATTGTACAACAAATCTAAATAAAGGATAATTTTAGTCATTAAGCTACAATTTGGTAGTTTTTATTTTTTTCATATATTCAGTATTTTCGGGCATATTTAAAAAAAGAAGGGTAAAAAATATGAAATTGTAAATCGTTTCTCGCTTTAAGCTGTACTTTTTATAAAACTAAGCATTTTAAATGGGTCAAACTTCTTGTACGTATTAACAATACATGTACAAAGGGAATTACAGAAGGGTAAAGATCGATTTTGATTATGGGCGTGGTTAGGGGGTTGTTTTCATCGATTTTTTCGTAAAAAATGAGGTATTTGACCTTATTTTCATCATAACTCACTCAATTTTTGAGCTAGAGTCTTTTTTATGATAGGTCTATTTATGCTCTTTGGTTTTGTGAGTTTTCTTCCAAAAATGCATCATTTTCCCGATATTTGACTTTAAATCTTTCAAATTGGGCATTTGAAGAAAACCGCTAAACATTGATAGGCCGTATTTCGGTTCCTATTATATCGCAAAAACATTTTAAAAATAAATTGTATTTGTCTTTTTAAAAGCTACAAATTTGTTCTCTACAATTTTTTTGATAAAATGCACCATTTTCGAGTTATTCGCGAAAAATCGATTAAAAACGTGGATTTTTTCGTCTAAAACTTGTTACTTTCAATCGCGAATAACTTGAAAAATATCATTTTATAAAAAAAATGTATAGCACTTTTTTTGTTTAGAATCACTTTTTTAATCGAAACCTGTAGTTAAAACGTAAAAAAAAATTTCACCCCGGAGATGGGGTGGCAACCACCCCCTAGGCTTTGGCGCACTTTGGTTCGGTATAGATTTTGATCCTTAGGCTATTACCTACCTTCTGTTAAATTTCAAGTCAATCTACGCAGCGCGAAAAAATTGCGAGGTGAAATACTTCATTTCCTGGACTATAACTGGTTTGACAGCATAATAAAATCGTAGATTTATGTGTAGCTTTCAATTTTTATGAGTTCAGAATCCAGCAGCTCGCTGAAGTATTGGATTTTTATAATATAATTATTTGACAATATTTTGTTGGCCAACCACCTACAGCAGAATTGAGCCGAAATACATTATATTCCTATGTTCCGAATTTATTTCGTTCAATCTGTATATAAAAGAGCGGAGACTAAGTAGCATTTTAGTAACTGAACTTTTATTTTTTCTTAGAAGCTTTAAAACCAAAACATAGTACAGACTATATACAAATGTCTCTCAGATTTTTGAGTGAAGAGGTGTTCAAGTCTAAATATTTTTTTTAAATCTACTTCTATGTACTGGTTCTATATTTTGTTCAACTTATTAACTATTTAAATTCATTTTATAGCGATCAGGAATGGTTCACTAATCAAATGAACGAACAGTTAGGCCGTCATTTTGAGCTGACGTTACACAGTCTCTGTCCCCAAAAACAAATACCAGTCTACGCGGATTTCGTGAATCCGTACCAGGTATACGAAGAATTCACCGATTTCACAGTTTTGAGACAGTTCCTCGATCAACAAATGGAAGACTACAACGTGTCACCAGGTGTTGTGCGAATGAACTTGGTTTTGTTTAAGGATGCTATTGAGCATATTTGCAGAATAGTCCGGGTTATTTCTCAACCGAGAGGCAATATGCTGCTTATAGGAATAGGTAAGCTTCATTAAGGGTGCACAGGCTATATTTTCCTCTGAATCAGCTATAATGGACTACCATGAAGAAATGAATCAAGCTAATTTTTTATCGTTGTTTGAAAATCAACTATTAAAAATTTGTCTGAACCATCCCTAATAATTATAATAGATAATGCTCCATACCTTTAAACTCCATAACTTTAAACTGCCAACCGATGCCAACCAAAATAGAAACCCATGTATTTAATTTACATCACTTTTGAATCTGAACTATCATCAAGATTTATTATAATGGGTTGAATATCAACATTCACCATACTTTTGTCTTGGATATACCATTTTTTAGTAATTTCATTAGTATGTCTGACACATTTCTCCCAAATATCTGCATTACATTATTCCAGTGCCTTATTCCACATATTTAAAACGGCAGTATCAAAATACCCATGCCCATCTATACCAATATACTTATTGTACTACGACTTGCAATTTGCCCAAATTAATTCTATTGCGTTAAATTCGCAGTGATAAGGAAGCAGTCTTAACACTTCATGACCATATTCTCACAGTAACTTGTCAATTACATATATATTTTCTTTTCTGTTATTTTTGGCTACTTGTAGCAATTCAGCTTTAGAAAAATGTCGGCCATATTTAATATTATTTGTTATCAACCAATTAATAATTTCATCTTTCCTTGAAGTAGTTGAAGGTTTTTTTATTTAAAAGGACACTGTGCTAAGAAGCATTATCCATTACAACCAATGGGTCTTCTAAATTAGGTATTAATTATTGTGTTCTTATCCACTTAGTATAAAGTTCGTTATTCATGTTTCCATAATAATCAGTTACGTAAGATTTTCAAAAAAACAATAAATTTACTCTCGAAACAAAGCCTTTGCGTGAAGCAGCGTGAACAATTACAAAACGTTTACCATCCACGAAATGCATATTTGATTCATTAATAAATTTCTTTATACATTTTTACAGGTGGTAGTGGTCGAACATCCCTAACAAGAATCGCCGCGTATATCTGCGAGTTCGGTACCTTTCAAATTAACATAACGAAGAATTACAAGGTTTTCGATTTAAAAGAAGACTTGAAGAATCTCTACGCCTTAACAGGTGTGAACTTGAAACCTCAGGCGTTTATATTTAACGATACTCAAATTACAGTAGAAAGCTTCTTGGAAATTATTAATAATATGCTTAGTAGCGGCGAAGTTGCTAATTTGTACAAACCAGACGAATTTGAAGACGTAAGTATAGTAGCCTCGTATTTCCGTGAGACTGTACAAAAATATATGTATCTGTAATAAAATCATTCAACAAAAAGGTACTCTACCAGGAGTCTGTAAAATTATCAATGACTCAGACGTATAATAATACAAAGTTTCCAGATTCCACTCGATATTAACATTCAGACGTGCCTGGTATAATCTTTTAAAATATGAACCAAATATGAACAATCAACCAATTAAGTTTTCATCGAACTTATGACAAGTCCACGTGGACTAACGGCCAATGAAAACATCGGATATCGCTGTTAGGACAAATCATAATGCATTATCTTTTGTCGGTAGACTAAAGGTCTATTCTCATTAGACGTGCCAGGCCCGCGCTCGTCACCTGACCGGCACATGCCATGCTTTTGGTAAATATTCACACTATTCGCGCTCGTAGCATGCTTTTAGCGGTATTTTGCACAGGCAGTCGATTAGACGTGTCGGTGGGTAGTTGTGCAGTTGTAATGTTTTCCACGGCAACTTTAGTAAAAATTGCATTTTTTACTTTAGATGCCGAAGAAGAAGAGAATATGAGAGATAAAGTTAAAAAAGGAGGTTTTGGATATATCCAATGATTAAGAAAAGAAAAATAGAAGGAGGATACTATACCTTGTATAAAGAACTCATGGATAATGAGTCAAAATTTTATATATATTATAGAATGTCAATTGCCGAATTTCAGCAGAATTACCAGCAGAATGCGATTTTAAACAAATTGCCAAAAAATTTTGGTTGTCGTGGAATTTTCCCAAGGGCATTAGGAGCCCTAGATGAAAAGCACATCAAAATTATAGCTCCAATCAATAGTGGTTCCAGTTACTTTAACTACAAAAAGATTTTTTCTTTTATTTATGTCATATCATCTTTCTTTTCCAACGAGTTTGACCCTACTATTATTTTTTTTTAATATTATCGGCAGTGGTCTATTACCTAGATAAAATATAGTGTTTTATTTACCTATTTTAATATTTTCTCCAATATCCCACCATACCTGAGACTTATGTGCTGCATCTGCATACAGTCGATTCATAAAATCGTATAATTCACTCCTCTCACGAACTAATTCTATTAAAAATTCATTAGTATCATGTGAAAATAATTTTTTTTCGCACCATTTTGCCTGTCGAAACTCGTCTGAAGTATTCACACTGGCACTATAGTGAGAATAGGCCTTTATTCACACTTGGGGTAAGATTATATGAGTATTTGACTTAGCTTACGGAGTCATAAAATAAGGGATCAGGTTTCGACCGTCCAGTGCCGAAGGCACGGGACGGGGAAAATTTAGGTAGGCAAATTTTTATAATATTTTATTTTTAAATTGCGGAGATGACCAACAGATTTTTGGGAGATAAGAATATTTTTAGTAAAATCATAACTGCTACAGCGTTCAGTTAAATTCAAATTTCAAATAGTGAACCGCAAGTTAGTTTGGTAGTGACTTTTTTCAGTGTTCTTTATACGGAAAACATTTTATATTTTACGTTTTTTACTTTTTTTTATACGTTTTTACGTGATTATGTTTTTATACGTTTGATAATTTTAAAATATTGCGTCCGTGGTGTGATAATGATTATGTAGCTGAATGGAACCCTCTAATCGATTGGAAGATTTACAAAGGGGTGTAGTAAAACGTAAGCGACATTTTCAATACCTATCTGATGATGCCAAACGTTTGCTAAAAAATGTTTATGAAGGACTGTGTGCTGAATTGTCTAAATCAGAGGCAATTGAAGAAACATGTTTTTAACCAGAGTGCCCAAAGCAACCTGCTACAAAATTATAGAAGAAACATCTTCTTCTAGACAGAAGAGAAAGGATTTGGCAAATTCAGAAAAATAGAACAGCATTTAATTGAATCAATTACTAGAACAATATACCAAATGTATGCGGCTAATATTTTTCCAACTATTGAAAGCCTTCGAAGTGAATTAGTTCGAAAGTGCATTCTCTCGTGTTCAGCAACAACACTTCGATTATTTCTTAAAACCAATAATTTTAAGAACAAAACTATAGACAAGAGACAGACGTTGATGGAAAGTACTAGAATAATTTCTTTAAGAAACAATTATATTAGACAGATAACTAAGTATCGAAAAATGAAACGAAATATTGTTTATTTAGATGAGACCTGGTATGATACTCATGACACCATGAAAAAAAGTGGGACAAATAATAACAAAAAGTGTTTCAACTCAGTACCGCTCAATAAAAGAAAGAGGATTATAATTTTACACTGCGGTGGAGAAAATGGGTGGGTCGATGATGCATTATTAATATCTGCAAAACAAATTAAAAACGCGTCTCTGGATTATCATGACGATATGGAAAGTTTAATTTTTGAATCATGGTTTAAAAAATGTCTTCTTCCGAAATTACTTAAAGATAGTGTGATTATCATGGACAACGCATCATATCATTCAAGATTAATGAAAAAAACTTCAAATAATAGTTGGAATAAATTAAAAATTCAGGAATTTTTATTCACGGAAGATTTGTATTTTAAGACATCTTATATTAAAAAGCAATTTTTGGAGGTTGTTCATAGTAAACAATACGAAAAGGAATATGTTGTTGACAACTGTGCTCGTAGTAACGGGCATACTGTGTTTAGACTTCCTCCTTATTATTGTACATTGAACCCAATAGAGTTAATATGGGCTCAACTTAAAGGAAATATAATGAGAAGAAACGTTGCTCCAAAATTTTTTGTCTACTGTTCTCCAGTTAATTAGAAGAGAAGTCACAAAAATTACAGCAACCAACTGGAAAAATGTAATAAAAATAAAACATGCAATCGAAGTAGAAAATGACTATGTTATGTTAAATATTTACCAGCATTAACGAAATTACCCATAAAATTAGATGATACGAGTGATACTAGTGATAACAGTGATTCTGAGTAGATAGTAAGTACTTATTAGGTGTTAGTTGAAACCTTTATTTCTATTTTAATTGTAGATATTCTCATTTTGCTTATATATCTTTGAAAACAGGGTATAAACCATCGAGCAAAAAGACAAAAGAGGGAATCTAATCCTTATGAAAAGGAGACCAAAAAAGTGGCCTCTGATGGCGGACATATCCGGAAATGCGAATGCGCCAAATTTAAATTTTCCGACACTTCTTAACAGTAGCTATATAATATTTTTCAGAATGTGTCTTGGACGAGAAAGTTTTAATTAATTATTAATGGTAATAGTCTAAAATGCAACACAATTGTTAAAAAACTTAAACAATATAAATAAGATTTCATGTGACATTTGGGACAAACAATAACATAACCCAACTAAATTTGATGTCAAACAAGGAGAGAGACTCTCTTTCCTTGTTTAATGTTGCCTCTAAAGATCGCACTTCCTGTCTAACAATATTTTTGCCTCCACTACCTTTACATTCCCTCTTTTGTCTTTTTGCTCGATGGTATAAACACACTTCTTGATAGGACAAAAATTATTAATGTTTTAGGGGAGGATGTCAACTAAAACTGTCACTGTCATTCTCGCTGAATAACTACTATTATTAACAATGTTTTATATAGATATCATTATTTTACAATAAGTTCTGTTCAGTCGAGTCGATTAGTGTTATCACTCCCAAGATATATCACAGAAGTTAAAAACACCTATATTTTTTATTTAAACTTTATAGAAAATGAAACTTTTTCGTAAATAAAATTAAAGTAAAAACTTTTATTTAATTTAAAATTAGATATCTACGCTACTGTTCTACTAGTTTGTACTACAATAAACTAGTGGTAACTCTAACAGCGTTGCCATTTTACTAATATTTTGCTTGTTTTGGTCTCTGTAAATTTTCTCACGAAATTACGTGCCGACTATATCAGTGCATTTTTTGATACATTGGAAAGGTTTTATTTTATTTCTTGGGAAATTGGGAATCTAAATTCACTTTCCTAAATATAGTATGTCTCGATCTGTGGCATATATAAGATTCTTGAACTCTAAGTGGAGCATAGAGCTTCAGTGAAAACCCGACATCGGGTTTTATTTTGCGCTAAGGTCTTCACCTCATTTCAAGACTTTTCTTGACCTCTTATCTCGTCCATGACGGATATTCTCCAAGTTTGTACTGGACGACCTCTTTTTCTTCTTCCTTGGTGATTCCACTCTAGGACAATCTTTGTAATACTTGAATTATTTTTTCTGAGTGTGTGACCAATCCACCGCACTTTCTGGACTTTATTTGATATTGTACCCTTTTTTGTTCGATCAGGTGTAGTAGATCTTCATTTCTGATGATATTAGGCCAGAAAATAAGAACTCATTATAGACATTTATTAATAAAAACCTGCAGTTTATCTGTAAGGGTTTTTGTCACTTTCCAGGTTTCACATCCGTAGAGGAGAACAGACATAATATTTGACTGGAATATGCAGATCACTGTCCTTGTAGTATACTCGCCAGATCTCCAAACAGTGATGAACATGCTGAACTTGTTGAGCTGTTCGTATCCTCATACGAATATCGTCCTCTGTACCTTCGCTTCCTGTTATGACACATCCAAGATACGTAAAGTTTCCCACATTTTCAATCTGCATGTTGTTAATAGTAAATAGCGTGTTGCTTCTTGCATTTACTCTCATGGATTTGGTTTTACTAATATTGATTTTCAAACTTACTTTATTGGCTTTAGTGAAAAGTATTCTAAATTGATCAGCCACATCTTGGAACCTTTATCATAACAGGCAGATATCGTCGGCGTATTCCAGATCGCTAAGGCGTGTGATTAACGTCCATTGTATCCCTCTTGTGTCGGAGTCTAGTTTGGAGGGAATTGTGTCCACATTGGCGCCCAACCGTACTTGTTTTATTGGAGGAATTGTGCTCTGGATTTGTGGTTTGATGGCAAATAACATACTTTTATAAATACTTTCTTATTTATTTTTATATGTGTTCATATTGTCAATATTTGTAGTTAATTTTAATATTTCCATGCTTTTGATTATTTTTTATATATATTTTCACATGTTGGGTTAAAAAGTATTACCATTTTTATATATTTTATATTCAGATATTTTTACATGTTTTTTTTTAAATGATGGTAGGTACTTTTATACTGTATTAAGTGGTTTTCTAACTTAACCAGTTTTTGTGGATAGTTTATTTTAATTACTTTCTTAACTTTTTTTTAATTATTTCTTCAAGATGCTACCTAAACATTTAAAGACAGATGAATTATTATATGAAATTCTTATTAGGAATATTTCTGCCCCAAATACAGTTGAGGAAAACGAAAGATCCTTGCTGGACTTCTTTCTCAGGAAGCCAGTAATCGTAGTTTTTCTGAAGTTTCTGTTAATTTATCTTTTGATGTTGATTACCAACAACCTTTAGCTTCCTATTCTGACCTGTTAAGTCTTATATCTGATTAGGTTCATTAGATTATATCTGATCAGGTTCAAAATCTGATAGTAGATTTAAAGCTTTCAGTTCTCGTTTAACTCATTTGTCTGGTAGAATCTCTCGTCTACAGCCAACTTCTGTAGATGAAGAAAAATTAAAAAAAGCTATCCGCTATGATTTGTTAAAATTAGAGGGTACTTTGTCTGACATTGTAGATCAACCTGATATGGTAGATCAACCTGTTGCTTCTACTCTTGATAGAGTAAACCTTAACTATTCTTAATCTTCAACTTTATCTGTTAAGTCTGTTCCTGTTTATAAATGGGGTATTAAAAAATTTGCTGGTAAAGAACCTCTAATTCCATTTATGGAACAGATTGAAACTTTAAAGTTTTCCAGGAACTGCACTGATGAATATTTATTCATCTCTGCAGGAGATCTATTTGAAGGTGCTGCTTTTACTTGGTGGCATAATCACTTCACAAATAAATCTTTTAATTCTTGGTCTGAATTAGTTGCTTCCTTAAAGGAAACTTATTTACCTTAAAATTATGAAAGAAATTTGTGGGAACAAATACATTCTACAAAACAGTCTTTCAAACAACCTGTCTCTGCATATATTTCTTATATGGAATCTTTGATGCTCCGGTCTTCAAAATCAATTCCTGAGTTTGAAAAAGTGGATAAGATAATTATTGGTCCCCTGATTATGTTAAAGCTCTTGCTTTCCAGGATGTGGAATCAATTGCAGATCTTACAAAGTATTGTAAGAGATTTGAAGCTGCTCTTACTATTTCTTCTCGCAGTAAATTTTCTGTTGAGTCTCTTTCTTCTTCTATGTCTACTGCTATGTTAAAAATAAACGGAGAAAGCACGCATCCCTGTCTGACTCCAGTAAGTATGTCAAATTCATCGCTGTTGAATTAATTGTGTCACGCTGCATTTCGCCTCAGTGTACAGTGACTTTTTATGCGAGATGTTTCTTAACTCTAAAATTTTCTATAGAGCAGCATGAGATAAGCTGTGAAGGACATGCTCGAAATTAACAAAAACCATGTATGTTCCATTCAACCGATTGTTCCATTATCACCCTCTTAGTATTAAAAAGCCTATGCAGGAAGATTCTGGTCTAAACCTGCTTGACCAGCTCGAAATTCAATCTTGTTTGTTAATCTTTTAAGTATGATGGGCGTGAAGATTTTATTTATTGCGGTAAGCAAGGTTATTCCTCTCCAATTTTTGCACAGTGTGAGGTTGCCCTTTTATGGAAGCTTAATAATGTTAACCCTTTTCTAGCCCCTTAAAATGCGATTTGTTTCCCGTACCTCTCGGATTATGGGGAGCAAAAGTTCAGCAGTTAGATGCGGATCAGTTTTAAGTATTTAGGTAGCAATTTTATTGATTCCCGGAGATTTATTATTTCTCGGAGATTTGATAGCTGTTATTATCTCCGTTTTGGAAGGGGCCTCTCAAGATATATGCAAGTCTACATTTTGCGGGTTTTCGACAATTTTATTTGCATTTTCCCTGGGCATGCCTAACATCTTCTGATAATGCTCTTTCCATCTCTCTACAGTCAATTGTTGTAGTAAGTAATTCGCCTGTCTTGGATTTTACAATGTTTGAACAGTTGAGCCCATTTTTTGTTAGTCGTCTAGTAATTTGGTATACCTCTCTAGTTTTATTGTGTTGTGCAGCTGTTTCAGCTTGTTTTGTCAGTTCTTTAGACCATCTTCTTTTGTCTCTTCTTGCATTTCTTTTAACTGTTTTATTTTTGGTTTCATATTATTGCTATCGGTTCGCTCTGTGTTCTACTTTTGCTTGCAAAATATCTTTCTTTTGCTGTTTCTTTCCTCGATAAGATTCCAAGTTTCATCTTACATCCATTCCTAACGATGTTTTTCTTTTTAACCCAGTTTATCTTCAGTTATTTCTATCAAAATATCTGCCAAATTTTCCCAGCTATTTACTTCACGTTCTCTTGTTTTGAGTTGGAGTTTCTCCCTAAACATGTGTCGTCCTGGAGCCGTTGTTAATTTGTCTAGATTTTGTTGGTCTATTGGTGTTTTGCGTGATTTTGTTTTTTGCCATCTTGATTTTAATGGTACCGATTACGAGATGATGGTCACTTGCGATGTCTGCTCCTCGTTTATCACGTACATCAAGAAGAGATGATCTCCATCTTTTTAATATGCCCATGTAACCTTGTGGATATTTTTATGTGGGAAGATGGTTCCACCAATAACTAAGCCGATTAGAACAAAAATTTGTAAAATGCTCTCGGTTTTCATTCATCACTCCCAGGCCATGTTTGTCCATTACGGTTTCTAAGTTAATATTGTCTTTTCCAATCTCCTATTATCCATTTAACCAATAAAGTTTAACCAATAAATAAAGTACAACCAATAAAGAAATGAATAATGCATATATATATATATATATATATATATATATATATATATATATATATATATATATATATAAGGGAGGCTGCATCAGAATCGGTAGAATATGCTGAGAATGATAATGATGATGTTGATGTTGATGATAATGATGATCATATAGAGATTGTAATTGTAATTTTTTAGGTAAAAAGGCAGCTGGAGACTGCCATCAATAAATACAACATTTTACTCACAAATGAAGCCATCTACGAGTTTCTGGTGAGCAGAGTTAGGGCGAATATGCACATTGTCCTTTGTATGAGCCCCATTGGAGACGCTTTCAGGAACCGCCTCAGACAGTATCCTGCTCTAATCAACTGTACCACCATCGACTGGTTTCAGGAGTGGCCACAAGAGGCTCTTCTAGAGGTGGCGAATAAATACATCGCCGACGTCAATTTTGTTCAAACGATAACTGGAGAAGAAGCGGTGAGTATATAAATATAAAAGCACTACAGGGCCTAGAGGCTCTTGGTAGAAGCGACGAGTGCCTTTATTATTAATTATTTTATTAATATTTTGATTTTTAGCTGCCAAGTTATTTATTGTAAGTATAAGTATAAAACTTCTATACCAAAAGAGAGTCAAAGATAAACTCGACAACGTGCACATCGTAGAAAGTGATGGAGTCGAAGAAAGCTGGGCGAAAATTAAAGCAAGCATCCTAGATTCAGCAAAAGAAGCTGTAGGAGAAAGGAAAATCCTTAAAAATAAATATTTCCAAAAGCGGAAAACTCCGTGGTTCTGCGCAGAAGTGAAAGAAAAATGCAAAGAAAAAAAGAAAGCCTACTTAAGATACATGTCTAACAAAACACCACAAGAATACAACAATTACAAAAAGATAAGAAACGAAACAATAGCACTAGTAAGAAAAATTAAAAAAGAACACTGGGAAAGCTTCTCAAAAGAAATGGAACACGACTTTTACGGTCTACAAAAGGAAATATGGCGTTTCATAAGAGGCCAAAGATCAGAGATGAAAGACTTAATCGAACCGAAACACATAGATAACGACACATGGATTGAATACCTAAAGAAGCTTTATAATGATGAACAGCAAATGATGTTAGAACCAGAAACACCAGAAATCATTACAAACGAGGAAGTCGAGATAACCGTACAAGAAGTAAAACAAACTTTAGAAAAACTGAAGAACAGAAAAGCTGCAGGTAAAGATGGAATTCCAAATGAATTATTGAAATATGGTGGAGAAGCATTAACAGAACAGCTAACAGCACTAATTAACAAAATTATCAAACATAATAAAATACCTGAAGAGTGGAAGAAAAGCGAGCTTATCCTACTATACAAAAAAGGAGATAAAAAACAACCTGAAAAAACTACAGAGGTATCAACTTATTAAACACCACTTTGAAGCTTACAACCAAAATATTGCAAGGCCAAATAAATCAGAGAATTACCTTAGCGGATGAACAGCAGGGTTTTCGCACAGGAAGATCGTGCACAGATGCAGTATTCATCATAAAACAGATTACCGAGAAAGCACTAGAGTATAGCAGACCAGCATTCATATGTCTAATAGACCTGAAGAAAGCGTTCGATAAAGTAAAGCTTAAAGATGTAATTCACCTTCTTTACGATAGAGAAATTCCACTAGATGTTATAAAAATAATAGAGAACATTTACCAGAACAACAATATGGAAGTCAGAATAGATGACCAGCTTACAGATCCAATAGATATGGACAATGGAATAAGACAAGGAGACTCGCTTAGTCCAACGCTATTCAATCTAATCATGGATGAAATCATCAATACTATTAATAAAGTAAGAGGATATAAAATGGGGAACAAAGAAATCAGAATACTCTGCTATGCAGATGATGCGGCCCTAATTGCATCCAATGAAGACGATCTACAAAGACTAACCCATAGATTCAACACAAGGGCAAAGGACTTTAATATGGTGATCTCTGCACAGAGATCTAAAACAAATCTCACAAACTAAAACAATTGTAATCAGTAAAGAACCAATTAGATGTAAACTGGAAATCGACGGTATCATAAACGACGGAAAGTAATGGAGACAAATTACCTAGGAATTACACTGTCTAGCTACGGAGATGTGGAGAAGGAAGTGAAAAATCAAGTACAAAAGGCTAATAAAATAGCAGGTTGTCTTAATAACACGATAAGGCGCAATCCCCACATTAATACCGACGTGAAATCAAGAATCTACAAAGCAACAATAAGACCAATAATGACATACACTTCAGAGACAAGACCGGATACCTCCAAAACTCAGCAACTACTAGAAACAGCGGAGATGCGTTTACTGAGGAGAATTACTGGAAACACACTGAGGGATCGAATGAGGAGTGAAGAGATCAGAAGAAAATGCAATATACCAGAAATAAATGAGTGGACACTGAACAGAAAAAAGGAATGGAACGAACACATAAACAGAATGGAAGAGATCCGATTAGTCAGAATAGCGAGGGACAAATCACCAAAAGGTAGAGAAGTATCGGGCGACCACGCAAAAGATGGAGTGATAACCTCCAATAGAGGCATTAATCGACATTGAACAAGCATTTTGCTTATAAAAAAGAAGAAGAAGAAGAAGTTATTTATTATTTTTATTTATTGTCTGTTCTTGCTCATCCTTAAATTTATCTTAATTGATGCTTTGTGTCATACCCACATTATTGATTTATTTTAATTGCTGCAACATTTGACAAAACTGTGCTATAAATAATTTTCAAACAGTGTATTACCTGTTTGTAGACCAAGAGACGAGATTCTTTGATCTTGACAACTCAAGATAAAATGCGCCTTGCAGTTTCAACAGTATTTGCCACAATTCACGGCTCTGTAGCGGCGTTTTCTAAAAAAATGATGCGAGAAATTAAAAGGCACAACTATGTAACACCCACAAATTATCTGGAGTTGGTAGCTGGTTACAAAAAGTAAGTAAACTGAATTTTCATCTGTTATTCTTTTGAACGTTTAACTGAAGACATGAGGCATATATCAATTTATATCAATTTATAGCAATGTATAGCAATTTATATAAATGTACCTATAGCAATTCACATTAATTTATAACAATATATTATATCAATTTGTAGCCTAAATGGTGTTAAAATTCTTCCTGTCTTTACTATCGAATTTACTATTGGGTTCTTTACTTGTCTGTCCTGTGCCACTATGTATTTATGTAGTTGGCTCAATAAAACACTGGGCAGATAATCAGGTGGTTTCCCGTTGCCTGCCTGATCACAATCTCATAGCCGGTTGAACTAAGATGTAGTTGTCGCCTGTGAGTTATTTACACTAGACCATTGATCATACAGCTCCAGTACAATAATGACATAGCTGCTGCCCTGTGTGATGCGCTCGGTTGATCCGCGGTGACTTATTTGATTGGACCTTATTTGCACCTGTCCTGCATATCTACAAGAACGTTCCCTATCAGCCATTGGGACGCGCCGTGTCGGAGTTGAGGACTTCCCCCACCCAGTCCGTCTTCCGTGAAGTGCTGAAAAGCCCCTACTCAGTTCAGAGCTCTTCCCCACGCAAGCTAGAACCAGCACAGTGAAATACTATTTAAAACACTATTAATTGTTTTGTAGTTCTTTAAGTAATATACATTTTTTACATAAAACTCACGAATAATATTAAAGTTAGAGCTTGAAAAGGTTAATAAAAGTGTGTGCGTATATTCATTGTAGAATGTTAGCGACAAAAAGAGAAAATATAGCTTCACAAGCCAACAAATTGAGGAATGGTTTATTTAAAATTGACGACTGCAAAAACAAAGTGTCAACCATGTCTATAGAATTAGCGGAAGCCCAAGTTCAGGTAGCGGAATTCCAACAACAGTGCGACGAATACCTAGTCATCATTGTCACCCAAAGAAAAGAAGCTGATGATCAACAAGTAAGTAAATTTATTTATCGTATGGCACTTGACACATTTACATTTAAATTTACATATATTTTGTATAAATCATAATACATTATATGTTTACAAACGAACATCTAACTTATTTATTTAGGTTTCCTGCTATGTATAACGTTTTAACATTCCATGTTGTACATTTTGGATTTTTGTTTAACTTCACTGACTTTTTATCGAGTTTTCGCTTGTTAAATTTATAAAATCCACTTGTACTCGTCCTCTTTTCCATTACACACAATTCTATTTTATTTCAGAAAGAAGTTACAAAGACAAGCATCAAAATCGGAGAAGAAGAAATCCAATGTAAACGACTAGCTGAACTAGCTCAGGCCGATTTAGACGAGGCTATGCCTGCCCTAGAAGAAGCAATAAGGGCGTTGGATGCTTTAAGTAAAAAGGATATTAGTGAGATGAAATCTTACCAAACACCGCCACAAAAGGTCAAGATGGTTATGGAAGCTGTTAATATACTAGTTGGGGTGGGTAATTAGAATAATAGAATAGAAATATGCTTTATTGTCACTGAAAATTGTACAATTTTATGGACAAAGCTTACAAAAAGTAAAAAAAGATAACAATAACAATTAAAATTTACTAAAATTACAAAAATCGTTAATATCACAAAATAAAAGATAATAAAACATACAATCCATTGCAAAATTTAACTAAATTACAAATAGCATAATAAAACCTTACGAACTATTTTACGAATAAGTTTAAGCTGTTGCATGTGAAATGCAAATATATATAAAATACTTTGTTGCTTGTACCTTAACGTACTGTAATTTCTCAGTTATTCGTTAAGAAACTCTTCCACTGCATAATATGGTCTTTCAGATAGGTTTTTGTTAATTTACGGAACTTATGGAAAGAAGTTGTAGATTTAAGTTGTAAAGGGTGTAACAAAATATTTTGCCTACCTCAGGGTAAGATTATGGGGGTAAAGATAAACGCTACTTGTGCGAACGGCACTTAGGGTTTGTTAGGAGAGCTGGGGTCGTGGATAATCAAAAGATAAAGGAGGTGGATTGGGGAATTTACAGAAAAAATAAACAAAAGGGGTACTTATGTAAATCTCTTGGGACAAATAAAAACAAAACGACTGCCACTGCCACAAAACTACTTTTCACTGCTACGTATTTCCATAAAGAGAAAAACAGAAAACCACAAATTCGACGGATGAATTTGGATCCATAATTGAACCTACAACGACCCAAGTAAGAATCTATTTGGATCCATACCTACAGGCGACCCAAGTAAGAATGACGAAATTCTCTTAACAATTCGTTCACGTAACTTGAAATAACAAACACTTGACAGGAATTAAAAGGCAAAAGATTCCATTTCTACGACGTACAAAAATTATAAGGCGACTTCGAATAAAACATTAAAAGAAAATGCCGAGAAATTACACCTCTTTAAAATAATAAACAACTCTAAAATGGTTTTAGTTACTTGGCGACGCTAAAAAGAACGAAATATTATTTGGGTTTTTATACGTACGGTAGAAAGATACATTAAAAACATTCTTCGATTTTTCAAACATATATGAGGGAATTTCAATATATTACATATACGAGGGGATTTCAATATACACCAAAAAATCAATGAATGGCAAATGCTACAAGGGAGATGGTTATATATTTTTTTGCCGAATATAATATAGATTGCTTTACTAATTCAGTGGAAGGGATCGGTCAATACACATCAAAGCTTAAATTTCTGGTGGAGTAGTCATGATTCGGTCCTGCTAGAAAAACATGTAGGTATTTACGTATTACGTATTACGTATTAAGCAAACAGTTTCTAGAATATATAGAGAGAGTTAAAATCCTGTGATTTTTGAAGTAGTCTCTGCAATGTATTATGCAACATCGGGTTGGGCAGCGTACTAGAACCCCAAAAAGGAAGGCCATATCGAAAATATTTCCTTCAAAACAGATCTTATTGCATAGCAGGCTGAGGCTAGTTTCTTACTTAACAAATCGATATGAAGGGACCATTTAAGGTTGCTTATAGAATCAACGATACTGATCTGGCTGTTATTAAGAAGCAAGGGTTGAAGGGCTCCTTTATAGAATAATGCTACTGTCTTATTCACGTTAAAATAGATTAAATTAGAGTCGAACCAGGTTTTTATTTTAAGTAGCTCAGATATTATAATTTCATGAAGAGTTGCAATATTAAGAGTTCATCCAGGTATTACTGGTATCATCAGCAAAAAGAAAAAAAAATTCATCGATTTTTAAGTTAGTAGTCATTTATAACGATAAGAAAAAGTAGAGGATCCAGTACTGAACCTTGTGGTATTCCACATACAATAATTTTGTGACTAGAGTCAGTATTCTTTGCTCTAACTAGTTGTTTCTTATTCCTCAAGTAAGATTGGAACCAATTCATTTCCTTAGAAATTTAGTTTTTTATCAAAAACAGTGGCAGTATAAAGATATAGCATTTTTCATATAAAAAAGCTTGCACGTCATTCATGATTTACGTCGTCAGAACCCCACAGCGTTGCCAAAACATCAGAATAATTAGTAAGTTTCGTATTATAAGTTGTGTTAGGAAAATTTGAGCTCTAATGTTGATGTTCTGGAAATTTTAAATACAAGTGACGTCACTTTGTAGAAATCGTAACGTGCAAGTGTTTTACTTTGAAAAATGGTATAATTTTTTAGTGTAGTACATAAAACATAGCATCGCTGGTACATTTATTAGATAAAAAGCTGAACTGACTTTGTGATAAAATGTTGTTTTCTACGAGAAATGACATAAGTCGGGCTTTTATAAATCTATCAATAATTTTGGATAGGACCGATAGTAAGGCAATAGGTCTATAGTTGCAGACATTAGATTTTTCACCTCCTTTATGAAGAGGAATAAAAATGGCTGTCTTTAGGCACTCTTTAAACATCCCTTTTTCAAAGGAATTGTTAAGTAGTGAAACCACAACTTCCAACATATAATTTGGGAGATTTAAGAAATTTTTTATGGATAGTCCTTTAGTACTACGGGAAGATTTGGTTTTGATACTACTGATTGTTTGGATCAGTTCAGATTTATCAACTGGTCTTATAAAGAATGAATTCGAGACCTTTTTTGAATTGGGAAGATAGTAAATAGGATGTTGTTTTGGCAATTTAGTTGATGTTATATTTTTACTCACATTAACGAAGTATTCATTTAGATTTTCAGGGTTTGGAAGAGAAAATGTTTGAGCTGTGTTAGTTTTATTTCGAATATCGTTTATTATATACCAAGTTTTCCTTGCAACATCTTTAGAGCTTTCCAGTAGATTCTCATAGTACATTTTTTTAGCTGTTTCGATAAGTTTTAGATTGGTTCCTCTGTACTTGGAGATATATTCAGTGACAAAGACATTGGTAGTAAATTTCTTGATGTACAGTACTTAACGCATATTCTTGGCTGATATGCGAATACCTTTTGTAGTCCAGGGTTTGTCATATTTTGACTTAATTATAATTATAAAGAAAATGCTTTATTGAAAATACAGACAATCTTATCTAAAAAATCACTGAAATTATAGTCCACAGCCACAGAGGGAAAGTGCCAACCAGAAGTCAAGTAATTTTGGAATTTACGAAAGTTCTGCGCGGAAAAAGTTCTACCTAAACTTTGGGTTTTCGAGGATAGTTTGTTAAGAGATGTTAAACTTGGTATATACTGCTTCATAGTCAGAGAATCCTGCATTAATAATGATAGAACGTACATCAAGAGATGAGAAAACTGAGACAATATAATCAATTATGGTAGATGTTGTTTTAGTAATTATTGTAGGAGAATACTTTTGTTTGTCCTCTAAGTCCCTTTTTACTTATTCGTTGCCATTGTCTATTCTAGTTTTTTGTACAACCATAATTCGTATATTATCTAGAAAATAAAAACTATTTTACTTTCACTGCAGAGTTTCAAATTCTAATAACTGTTCGGTATATGTAAAACACAATAAAGAATCAAAAAATAAAAATACAGATCAACAAAATATACCTAAATAAAAATTTTGTATCTTTTTGGGCACATAACAATCCCTTTTCCGATATCATCCGTCAATAATTCATTTTTATTTAGATTGAACCTAATTGGGAAAATGCCAAGAAACTATTGGGAGGTATGAATTTCTTGCAAGATTTAAAAGATTTCGACAAGAACCACATATCCGAAAAAACGTTGAAGAAAATCGCTACCTATACAATGAACGAAGAATTCATCCCTGATAAAGTGGGCATAGTGTCTTTTGCAGCCAAATCTCTGTGTATGTGGGTCATAGCCATCGAGAAATATGCGAAAATTTGGAAGTAACGTATTTTATTATATATTATATATTTTATATATTTTATTATATAATATTCTTGAAAATTGGAAAAGTCAGATATTTAGGCCCGAAATATTAATTCCACGATAGTTTCGGGAAATCCCGAAAATATCGGGATTTCCCGAATTGTGCTAATTGCTTTATTTTTCTTTATTTTTTGAAAATCTGGAGCAACTTTCTCGTTTGTTTTTTTGGTGACCATTATTGTTTTTCTTTTCATTAGTTCAAGAGGTTTTCTTTGAAATTCAAAGAAGACGAATACTTTTACTAAATTCAACCTTCTTCGGCGAGTAATTTTTTTATGAATAATTGTAATATACGGTAGCGAGACTTACACACTTAAAATATGATCGCAAAACATTATACAAGCTTTCAAAATGCTTCGCGTCTTATAAGAGAATTCCGTAGTTCGAATTTTATTCCATATTACTAAACAAAAGGTATTTAGAGGAGCTAATGTCCAAAGAAAGTTACTAAATAATGTTAAACAATGAAATGTGACAAATATAGTCTCTTGAAAGTCATCTAAATAAACCAAATTGAAGATTGAAGCCAACCAGGTCACAAACAATACTCACAGTGACCTAAAAACTGGTGTAGTTTACCAGACGTGAATACAATAATAAGAAGAATAGAAAAATATTCCTGTACATTTTCCAAACAGCATACGGTATGACAAAAAAAGAAGCAGAAGAAGAAGAATACCTCTTCGATTGTCCCCTATGTGTTATTAATTCCTCGTGACCATTATCTAAATTAATTTTTTACTTTATAGGATAGTAGGTCCGAAGAAAGCCAAACTGGACGAAGCTTTGGAGTCACTCCAAGAAAAACAGAGGCAGCTCGCGGAAGCTCAGGCCAAATTGGCTGAGTTGAATTTGTATCTTCAGAAATTGCAGAAAGAATACGAGGAAAAACTGCTGCAGAAAGAGGAATTAAACAGAAAGGTAGATATTGTTCTAAAGTTATTTTTGTGTGGCATCTCAATACTATTTATTTACTATGTTTATTGGGAATGAGAGTAATAATAACAATAATAAGTATGTTGAGAACGATTTACGGCTTATTCCCAATAAAAATAGTAAATAGAAAAGTAGATAGGCATTGTAATATTTGTATTATTGGTATTTTTTTGTATTAGACTAAAATCGAAAAGTTGATACGTAAATAAATAAAAATTTGAAAGGTTAAGTTAAGAAAAAATAACTTATGAATGTAAACTACAAATTAAATTTAGGTTAGATAAAGTTCAATGTAGTAACAGTACTGAATTTAGTATACTTTATTTATAAATGCTCAATCAATAAGGATAAAATTCTGTAATTGAAAGGATTTGTAGTAAGTTAAATATGCCAGATGTAACTGCGGTGGCTGAAAATCGGTTTAGAGCCGGTGAAGAACTATTTTTAATGTAAATTAATATAATGCTGTCTATATATGTAAATATGTTATAAAATCAATACCAATCTGGGTATTTGACGACTTAGATTAATATAGACCTACCCGATCCGAGAGAATTTACCACAAAAATAAAACGTCAAACGATCAGTTTCAACGGTGTTACAATATTGACAAAGCTGTAAATAACAGAGAAAAAATTTTGGTGCACCGATAAAACAGTCTTAAGATAACCTATTATAGTGTGTATTGCGCAAGCCATCCAGACGGAGGAGCACATGCAGGTTCTGTCGTTATTATTAAATCAAAAATTAAACACTATGCAGTCCAACTTTATATTGCTGAAAGAATCCAAGCAGCAATCATTAAAATCGAAATAAACACCTCTCTCTCAGTGTATCATCAGTCTACAGACCACCTAGAGATCCAATTTCAAGCGAAGAGTATCATGATTTCATACAAACTCTTGGATCCAAATTCATAGTAGCAGGAGACTGGAATTCCAAACATACCACATGGGGTTTCAGATTAATCACGCCTAAAGATTGATCATTAATGAATATCATCTAACAATATCATCATCCAACAAAATACCTTAAGATACTTATCAACGGTAGAACCCACATACTGGCCTACGAATCCCAACAAAATCCCAGATTTGGTAGATTTTGCTGTAACAAAAGGAATAGCTGACATCCATAATGCAATAGAGTCAAACTTCGATTTAACATCAGATCACAGTACAATAATAATAACTAAGGCTGGCTATTTAACAAAAGGTCTCAATTATCTCTTGAAAATAAACTGCTTCTGTACAAAGCTATACTTATACCAATTTGGGCACATGAAATAGAACTGTGGAGCTGTAGTAAACCATCAAATACGAAGATACTTCAAACATTCCAATCCAAAATAATTCGTATGATAAGTAACGCTCCATGGTATGTATCTAACATTGATCACAACAAAGAACTGATAAATAATGTGTTCACTCAACCACTTGCCGAAAGAAGATTGAATAGAGTATAGCCAGAAGACCTATCGCAATAATACTTAGAGAACCGTCACTGGATGGTACCTAACTCACGTTCATTTACTTACAGACTAATTACTTATTACTCCGTGTATAGAGTAGATTATGCACATGTAATGTAGCAATAAAAAAAATATTCTTCTGCCAAAATCTCTGCGGTATCATGCATTTTCAAATCAAGTATAATATTTTTTTTGCTCGTTTAGGCAGAACTACTAAAGTTAAAGCTAGAAAGAGCAGCAATGCTGGTAGAAAATCTCTCTGGCGAAAGAGAAAGATGGAGCGAAACTGTTACAGTCCTAGATGACCAGTTCATCATGTTGCCAGGGGACTGCCTATTAGCTACAGCGTTCATTTCATATCTGGGCCCTTTTCTATCAAATTACAGAGAAGAATTACTAGATTTATGGCAATCTGAGGTACGTACTTCGGTGAGTAGTTGATAAAAATTCGTATTATCGATTTATCTTATTTCAGTGCCGCGAGCAAGAAATTGTTTTCACAACAGATTTTAATATAATTCATTTTCTAACTGATCCCACCACGGTACGTGAATGGAATATCCAAGGATTACCTGCTGACAATTTTAGTACTGAAAACGGTATCTTAATTTGCGAAGGAAACAGATGGCCGTTAGTGATAGATCCACAGTGTCAGGCGCAAAAATGGATCAAAGCCAAAGAAGAACAGTTTAATTTGCAGGTTAGTGGCTCTAGATTTTAATAACTGCAGTAATCAAATAAAATGTTTCTATTATAGTTCAATTGTCAATATTTTTTGAGTTATTCGTCACTAAAAGTGTCAATTTTTGTTCAAAAAAATGCATAATTTTAAATAGTTTTTCAGGAATATCTCAAAATGTTAGGTTTAATACAAAAAAATTTTAACACTATGATTGCAGTGTACGAAAAAACAACAAGAATGAATTTGATTGTTGTGGGCCCACTACAAACCGGATTACAGTATATTTACAACAATTATAATACAACAGTGCTCAACAATTGATAAGGATTAAAGTAATATTTTACTCCAGAAATAGCCGAAGTTTGTAAAAATTTAATATAATTAAAGTAATATTAATACCCCGACTTTATTATCAATTTTAAACGAAATAAAATAAATTTTGCCATTATGGCCATTTTACTAGGGTCAGCAAAAAGTTAAATATTAAAGTCGTCTATTTTCATTTATTCTATACAAGTCATCATACTAGGATCTCAACAAACTTTTAAAATATTTGAAATCATAATTATGATACTGATCAATTGTTGAGCACTATATTACGACGACGTTGGTTCAAAGTCGGCTCTGCCACGTTGGGGCCGACGATGAACTAGCAACGCTGCAGCCTTTTCTTCTATTTGATTAACATTGTCCGTAAGAGCTAGCTGAAATCTATTGTGAATCCGAGTTTAGTTTATCACATCCATCTACAGAAATCGCGAAAAGAGCAAATCCAATGACTGGCATACTTTATGCACTTATCTGGATGAAATGATCCGTATCCTTCTCTTCGCAAGCCTTTGAAACAAAGACCGAAATTTGAACCGGGTCATTGTTAATCCTATTACCCATCTGTTCTATGACGTAGCACCAGCTCAACCCGTCTTCTTCGACTTTTTTTCGCCATTTTGTGTTGTGATAAACAATGCATGCTCAGATATTTTTCCTCGAAACTTCTCGAAAGAAAATCGGTTACTTTTTACCTTTTATAAAACCAAGTTTTATATAATTTTTAAGGTTTTTGATCTCCGAACTGCCGGCTATATGTCAATAGTTGAAAGAGCCGTCCAATTCGGTTTTCCAGTGTTACTTCAAAACATCGGAGAAACAATAGATCCATCTTTGGAACCCATCTTAGCCAAGGCGATAGTAAAATCCGGAGGTGAACTACTCATCAAACTCGAAGACAAACTAGTGTCGTACCACACTGATTTCAGATTTTTTATTACCACCAAACTGACCAACCCACACTATCCGCCTGAGATATGTACCAAAGCGACTTTGGTCAATTTTGCCGTTAAAGAACAAGGTTTGGAGGGCCAACTGCTGGGAATTGTGGTCAGGAAAGAGAAACCGCAACTGGAAGAACAAAAAGATGAATTGGTAACGGCCATCGCAAAAGGTAGAGTACCATTTTCATTATTGTATATTTCTTTATTTCGGTTACTATTCACTCGTGTTGAGTCCTTTAAAAAGGTCCTTAATTCTTTATTCTTTGTATCATTACTTTTAATGTACCGTAATCTATTTATTAAAAGCATGTAAAGTCTATCTCAAAGTATATTGCCTTCTACATACAGTAAAATTCATGTGAAGAATTCAAAAGAAGAGTTCAACTTTGGATGGAGAAATGATTGTGGAAAGTAATAGTTTTAAGTTCCCAGGATCGGTTACAAAGTAAAGGGCAAAACAGATGGAGATGTATGTATGTATGCAGTAGAAATAGGGTTGGATGGATAAAGTGGAAGAAAGCGAGTGGTATGTTGTGTGATACACCACTGCTTTACACCACTGTAAAAATTCCGATGAAGCTGAATGAAAAATTCCATAAAACAGCCATAGATTAACAATGGTATACAGAACTGAATGATGGACAGTTAAAGAGAAAAAGGAACAACAAATTCACGTGATGGAAATGAGAATACTTGACGGATAAGAAAAGTGATCAAAGAAAATAAAATTAAGAATAAGTATATTATGGGAAGTCTTGGAATAATGCCAACATAATGATGATAATGAATTCAGTGATAATTTTAATTAATCTTATGCCAGGCCAGATTCTCATTCAATAGCTCCATACTTACAAGAGACAGGACCGTTCTGGGTAATATTTATACCCATTCATTTCTATATTGCATTTAAAATTGTGAACATTGTTGAAAATGTTTAAATACACTGTTTAAATAAAAACAAAAATTCAAGGATATATAAATTTTTTTGTCATTTTTTTTCATTAATTATATTCTATTTATCAAACTTACAAGGAAAATTAAGTCTAATGTACCAGTGCCTTAGAAATAAGAATAAATATTTCTGTAACAATTTATATTTATAGGTAAAAGGACTTTAATGGATCTAGAAAACGAGTTGTTGAGGCTACTTGCCGAATCTCGCGGATCACTTTTGGAAGATGCAGAACTATTTGATACTCTACAAGTATCTAAAGCTACTTCCGAAACAGTGAAGCGAAGTTTAGAGATATCTGAAACCACCGAAGTGCAGATTGATGCTGCAAGAGAGGTAACTATGAGCGACATAATAGTGACAGATGACGTTACAGCGCCACTGTGACGTCATCTGACGTCATCTGAGATACTTTTAAATAGGACTTTATGGCAAGTAATACCTTGTTTGAAAGGTATTGAAAATACCTATTTAATCATACTAATTTTATTTGAGTTTAGGCTCATTTTGTCAGTTGTGGTTAATTGTCAAAACGTTTTTCAATTCTCTCATTGTTTTTATGTCAACGTTAACTTTTTGACAATTAACCAGAGGCGAACGTTAAAATAGAATATTTATTAATTAAATGCGAAACTACAATTATTTTAATAAACCTATTCAATCATACCAATTTCGTTTGGATTTAAGATGATGATAGACTCAAGACCATTTTAAATATTTTAGGGCTACAGACCGTCAGCAAACAGAGCCTCCATTTTGTTTTTCGTATTAAACGATATGGGCCAAATAGATCCAATGTACCAGTTCGCGCTAGATGCCTATATTCTTCTATTTCTAAATTCGATAAGCCGTAGTCCAAAATCCAATGAATTATCAGAGAGGATCACTCTTATGAACGAATACCATACCTATGCAGTATACCAGTAAGTTAATATATTTATTTTGGTCCATTTTTCCTTATTAAAATTAGTGAGTTATTTTAGTAATACATAATAATTACGCAATTATCGTTAAACGACTTAAAAAATGTGCTCATTTCATAAAATAAACCATAAAAAATAATAGAGATATAGGTTTTAGATCATTTGTGTTACATGATCAAACGTCTATATTGGTCAAACAGGTAAAAGTTTTAAAAACCGTATAAGTAAACAGATAAATAACATGTATAAGTAAGTTTTTGTTCGTAGCTTATATTTTGAATTAATTATTACATACTTATTAGATCATTACATTAACATACTTATTAGATCAGGAGTTGTTTTTCCTAGTCTTAAGCCTCCTTGATATTCTCCGATAACTTAAAATTATTTATTTAAACTTATTTAAGTAATAAATTATTATTTTGTACAAATATATATACAATATATTTAATAAATATATATTATCTAAATAAATTTCAATAGAGGGCAGTAAAAAAGTCTGTAATTTTTTCTGGGCGCCAGTCTCGACGTGCTGATCAAACGCTCTGTCTCTTATACGCCTGAGCATCATGAGCTCTTCGCTGCTGTTGAAGTGTCTTCTGCTCACCTGATAGCCGTGTTCAGGGCAATAATAGCTTCAGCAGCAGAAGTTTTTGAAGCAGGTGATTCATCATCGACATCCTCCTCTTCCGTTTCTTTATTTTGAATGGCCCTTATAATTTCTTATGGAAAGGGGGGATGAATGTGCACATATCTCTTTTTTTTTTGTTTTGAATTTGAAGTGCTGTTTTTAAGTTTTCGTCTTTCTTCTACAAGATTGAGTCTCATCAGTCATCCAATGTTTTTTCCTAGCTGTTTTGTCTGTGGGATTAGTATTGTTGATGGCTTTAGTGATCCATTTATTCAGGTATTTCCACGTTTTATCAGGGTCTCCGGTAGTGACTGGTAGTCGAGTGTAGGAGGCAGGGAACCTTGGGTTCGGATTAACGCGGCCGTACTCTAACCAGTAAAATAATACAACCAATAAATTACGTTTCAATAAATATTATTGACTTCTATTCGTTTGTTTTATATCTATTTTTGTAAAATGTGATGGTACTGTTTTAGAAATACTTGCAGAGCACTTTTTGAACACCACAAACTGCTGTTTTCCTTCCATATGTGTATGAAAATACTAAACGCCCAAGGGAAAATTGTCAAAGGCGAATACGATTTTCTGCTAAAAGGTGGCGTCGTATTGGATAGAACAAAGCAAGTGGACAATCCATGCTCTGGTAATATAAGTATTATAGTCATTATATTTTTAAGAGTTATTACTTTTTAATTTTATTGGCCCCACCTTGCGCCCTCATAAACTTAAACTTAAGCTTACACTTATCTTCCCAATACATCAAAAAATAAAATTGAGTTCTCTAAGAAATGCACACTAAGGTCTGAAAAATATAACCTTTTAATGGACTAAATAGAAAAGAAGTTACTAGGATGCTCTGAACAGCGGAGCACGGAGCAAATTTGCATACAGCTGTCCCTAATTTGCATACAGCTGTCCCTAGTTACCATGTGCTCACTAATTTGCATACAGCTGTCCCCCATGTGCTCGGTAATTTATATAAAGCTGTCCCCCATGTGCTCGCTAATTTACATACAACTGTACCCCATGTGCTCGCTAATTTCCATACACCTACCTTCTCGCTAATATACATACAAATATCCCCCCTGTGCTCGCTAATTTGCATACACCTACTTACTCTTCAATTTGCATAAACCTACACCTGTTGTGCTCCCTCATGCTTCATTACCAAACAAATGCGTGCTCTTAAATTTACATATACCTCCCACCCCAGATATGTGAACACATTCTGTGTGTTATTTAATCTTTAACAATGAGTGCTAAAGTGCAGATATCCAACGTGCTCTTAAGTGAACGTCGGTTTTACTTAAACCCATCAAACACCAAGTATGTGTCCATCTGTTTAGCCCACGAATTTAACTTTGAACCAAGTGTTATTATCAGTGGATACAAACATGATTGTGTCTTATTCAGTCAAACGGAGTTGGATCAAATTTTTATCCCATAAAAATGTGATCGATAATTTTATGGCAGGAAATCACCAACAACCAATTAAAGATGGAAATTTTCTGCTAGATTTCATGCAGCTTCCATGCATGTTAGTTGTAAAAATTACCAAAGGTAATTCACTGATCATGTTGGGTGTTAATTCAATTGCATCCATATGGAAAATACTGCCGTTTCTTAATTACCATTTAGAAGCCCTAAAGAAGGCTCCAACTCCCTAGAAATATTAAAGCTGGGGGTGGATTCCAACAACAGGATGAAATCCAGGCTTAAGATTATGGAGACCATTAAGAATATAAATAACCGACATATGGTATAGCTTTAGAGATACTCTACAGATATCCAGGACTATTTATTGATTAACGAAAAGGTACGTATCCAGTACGTTAAAGAAAATTGTCCATGTAGAACCAGCTACTGGGAATTTGTTGCTTTAGACAGACTAGGCTTCCGAAGTAGGATAGAAAAACCGTTGATATATAAACCGAAAAAATAGTCCGTTGATATATTAAAATTATCACCTTCATATATAAAACCTTCCAAATCTTCTCCTTCTACTTCTATAATTTGTTTACTATCACTGTCCGATATGGTTATGTCGTCATATCTTGAATACTATTGTAACATGTCTTTTTCATCATCCTCTTTTTCTTCCGTTGAAGCATGGATGCTAATAATTATAATATTAGCGAACTTTCCTTTAAGTCTTATTTGACATATCGATGTCCACTGTAGTAAATATTGCAGTACATTGCAGTATTACATAAAGCAATCATATCTGCTTTGGCTTTATTCATTTCTTGTATGAGCAGAGCCGTGGCTCCAGGCTGATAAAGGCTTCTTACATTCCACGGGCAAATTTTTACATCATTATCCTTATTTCGTTTGGGAGTTCGTCGTAGATTATAAGGTCCGGTTTCCTTCTTTGTAGCTCCCATAACAAAAGGTTATTACAGGGTTAGGTAGTTACCCAATGCCAAACCCCCTTTTCAGAGGGCCATTTCACCCGCTCTCGTCAGTTCCCGACCCAACTTTCCACCCAGGTTGAATACCGGATCTCCAGTTGAGTTACTCGGTTTACAGGGGACACCAACGTGAAGGTGAGACTCGGATTTGAGTAGAAGAAGCTAATTGGAGTAAACTGGAATCAACTTCATGTTTTCAGATTCTACCCCTTTATTCTCTATGCGGACCATACTATTATATTAATTACAGGATAGTCTCCAGGACATTCAGAAACTGATGAATAAGATAGTTGAGTATGGAAAATAATACGGGTTATTAAAAAAACTAAATATATAAGGATATCAAAAACTCAAAATACCGATGAAAGCCTGATAATTAGCTTTAAAACTCTAGGACAAGTAGAAAGCTACCGCTATCTTGTCACAATAATAAACCACACATTGCATTACAGTATAGAAGAGTTTTCTTGATTGTTTTTGTTTTTTAGCATGGCTTAGTGAAATTGCCTGGGATAACATTACTGAATTGGATAAACTTCAAGGTTTTCACGGAGTCATCGATACATTTGAGCAGTATCAGAGAGATTGGAATCAATGGTATATACACACTGAACCCGAAACTCTACCATTAATAGGTGAGTGTATTTAATAGCATATACAAGTTGTGGGACAATGTCGGTAAAATCCACTAGGAAACTAAGTTCCTGTAGCTGGCTGTATACCATATATCACAAAAAATTTTATTTCAAATTCTTTATAAAAGGTATATCATAAAATGCCCAAACAGGCTATCACAATTACATTACAGAACGTTTTCGTAATGTTAATTCCATCATCAGTGTTAACGGGGTATACATGCTATGAGCCACCAAAATATATGGGTCAAAACCCTTTAAATGTTACAAATTTGTAGTTGTTTTACATTATTTATAATTACAAATTAGGATGTTTAAGTTACCGTTGGAATTGGTAACATGGCGACGTATGATCCTACATAGGTAAAATGGTCCTGAGACGAAGTGTCTTCGAGGACCTGTTGATAACAACTCTGACTTTTTTGGGAATTTTTCTTCTTTAGGAATTTTTTTTCCATGACTGTATCAGTTATATTTCTTTATGTATAGTGGATGATAAGATTTCAAATATCTATATTATTTCAGGAGAATGGGATGGAATCTGCAACGAATTCCAAAAAATGCTGTTCATCCGATCCCTGCGTCAAGACCGTGTGTCGTTCGCTCTATCGAATTTTATAGTCAACCAACTAGGACCTCAATTCGTTGAACCTCCCGTATTAGACATAAAAGCCGTTCTGGAAGAATCGTCTCCCCAAACACCGTTGATATTTGTTTTGTCTCCTGGTGTTGACCCGACTCAGTCATTAATACAACTAGCTGAGCTGGCAAATATGAGTTCGAGATTCCAGTCTATAAGTTTGGGGCAGGGACAGGCGCCAATTGCTACCAAGTAAGTGAAATTGAAGTATTTTTATTTGAAATAATATTTGTTTCCTCTCCAAAATTGTTTAAATTGTTACTATATACGTACAGCTGCGGCCATTGAATAGTTTACACCATTGCATTTCTACCTTGTTTAAACGCACATTATACATCAAAGTGACGTTAATTACTAGTGGCGCTATCCATCCTATAGACATTATCCATCAGCACACATCCACATACTGGCAAACATAACACCTTTTAAGGATAAAATCCTATCCCTCAGCAGGAGGTATGTCCTTTGAACCATTATAGGTTATAATAGAGCCTTTGAACCATCACAGGTTATAATAGAACCTTTGAACCATAACAGGTTATAGAAGAACCTTCTACATATTACTGTACACGAACTCCCTGATAAGTATTTTGAAATTTTAGAATCAACCCCCATTAAATATCGCATCTAACAACTGCACGCCAAAAATGTTGATTAAGAGCCGTTCCTACAGTATGGCTGGTAACCCTTGACCTTTTTCGACATGTATGGCATAACTCACCCAAAATTCCTCTTGTGCGCTTCTAACAAATCATCCACACAATACGCCATCTTCGAAACCCCAGCTCTGTAGTAGTCCACTACTTCTCTACACACTTCTTCTTCTTCTTTAGCCTTAAATATTTCAACTTTGGACATAGGCCTCCCCCAAATCAATGCAGTGTCTTTTATTTTGCGCCACTTACTTCCAGTTGATCAATAAATGGCATTGATAATCCTTGTTTGGCTATTTTATCTGCTTTTTCATTGCCCTTATAACCCTCGTGACCCGATACCCAGGCTACCGTAACCTTGCTACGATCTTCTAGTTTATTTAGGGCACACAGACACAATCCGATCATCATCATCATCATCCAGCCTTCATTTATCACGTCCACTGCTGGACATAGGCCTCCCTTAAACTGCTCCATTCTTTAGAAGAAGAAAAAAAGAATAACACAATCCGATACTAGCTTAGAATTGACCATAATATAGACGAACATTAACATAACATGAGTTTCTTTCAAACATTAGAGCAATCATACGCATTCTTCGTATGCATCGGTGAATTGCCATGTTGGAAGATGATCAAGTTATTGGAAATCTCTGGATCACTGATGGAATGGATGATGGAAATTATGTTTTCATGAATATATGTGTAATATAATCCTGTTTATTTTTCTTCTACGTACACCACAAGTTATCTTCACGATTACTTAATTCATTACAAAATGCAACTCGTTTCCTCTTGTGGTCTTCTGTCAAACAAGGTATCCTTGCACCTGCACAATTTATCAATTCACTTGCTTTAGTCCTACGTACAGTGCGAATGCTGTCTCTCCACTTGCTTTTCGAGCTATGGCAAAAGAGCTTCTCTTAGCTAATCTTCTAACATCTCATTTTGTTGCTCTTGGAGATTTTCTGCCTTCTAGAACTCCGCAACCTTGCTATAAAGTTAAAATGATCCCATCTCTGTTTGATTTTCCATATGCACATATGGTTCACGTTCAAATCAGCAGCAACTAGCCTTAGTGACCAATCTTCTTCGAGTTTAGTAACTCTTCTTGTTTTTTGGGCATCATTTAAATGTATTATATACATTTTGGATGCGTTTAATCTATTTCATTTTATTTTTTAATACGTGCGAAATTTTTGACAAGTACTTTGACATTTAGCAAATCCATACGACACCGCGATTTTACAGTATTACGATCTAAAAATGAAGGTGTAAATTATTCAGTGAACGCATCTGTACATTTCTTTCGAATTTGTTTTGATATCCTACCACGCAATTTTACGCTTACCTAATTGCATTAAAAGTGAATCTACCGCCTCCACGATGAATCATAGAATTCTTGACGCTAATCGAAACATCACCTAGATAACCACTAGAGGCTTTTAAGATGTAGTGCTGCAGAAGAACGTGGCAAATCTCCTCGGTGTATCGTATTTCAAACAGTGAAGTTATGACAAAACTAGCTAAGGAATGTGAAAGGGTTTAAACAAAAAACTCAAGGGTCATAAAATCTCAGACATCAACAGAGCTATACCTTATTGTAGCTTATATTGCAAGGAAAAGTACTAAGCAAAATAGATCCGACCAGATGAAGAATTATCTCGATCTTTAATCTTACTGTGATATAAGGACACACAAAAATTTTAGAGATTCAAATTAAATTCGATGTTACTTATGTGTTCTAAATTAAAAGTGAAAAGGTACACACGACCTTTGTCAACTCTATAAGTGTTAAGTTATACAATAAATTAAAAAGTACAACTCGTCTTTGTTTGGAAAAGTGAGCATGAAAAATCAGTTGGGCTAATGCAGCAGGAGCCCGATACCACATGGCGATCCTGATAGCCCAACACCATACTTACAAAGTGGTTTTAAATATCTACGATTAGTGAATTTAAATCTGCAAGAAATAAAGTAAAAACAGCTATATTAGTCGCAAAAATCCTTAGTGGATTGGCATTTTAAAAAGAGGATATTTATTTTAGAAGTTATTAATGTTTAGGTTACTACAGATGGGAGCTAAAGACGGACATTGGGTTTTCTTAGCGAACTGTCATTTGTCTCTAAGTTGGATGCCGAAACTGGACAAAATCATAGAAATGCTTCAATCAGGTAAAGTTCACAGCCATTTTAGAGTATGGCTTAGCTCAAGTCCGCATCCAGAGTTTCCAATATCCATTCTCCAAGCTGGAATTAAAATGACCACTGAACCACCCAAAGTAAATATCCCTATTTATTATATTGTTACAAAAAAGTCTGTTTCTGTTTATTTGGTGATTTTTAGGGTCTTAAGGCGAATTTAAAGAGATTATACCAACTAATATCTGAGGATCAGTTCACAGCTTGTCAATATCCAGAAAAATACAAGAAGTTGTTGTTTTCTTTGTGCTTCTTCCACGCTATATTGTTGGAAAGAAAAAAGTTTCAACAACTTGGTTGGAACGTCATTTATAGCTTTAATGATTCAGATTTTCAGGTACGTGTATACAAATTAGTTTTTTAAAAAAAATTAAATAATTTGGTATGCCAAGTATTATTTCATCCACAAAAGCGTAGCTGTTTAACGAAATTTAGAAAAGGATATGAAATTTTGAGTAACTTACCTATATATTTAAATCTATAGGTTAAATTTTTTTGAGTTATACTTATTATTTTTAATAGTATATTACTTTATGAGGCGGAGAAGGGTGACTTTTCTTGACGCGCCCGATATTACGCACCGAACGAAGTGAGGCGCGTAATAGAGAGCAAGTCAAGAAAAGTCGCTTCTTTACCGAATAAAGTATACTATTTTTTCTTCAAACGTAGCAATTTTCAACCATAAAGCGTACAATTCATACGCTATTTTTACTCGAAATTAACTGACAACTATCAAAGTCGTCTAGATATTAGAAATTAAAATAATTAAGTCGTCGGTTGGATTTGCGTCTCCCTGGGTACAGTTGTTTGACAGTTGTTTGCAATTATTAAAGACAGCTTATTGTTGTTGCAACCGCAAGCGCAAATTTAGTGCGAAAATGGAAAACCTAAACGAAATTGAGTCCGCGGCTACTGATGCAGTAGCACGTTTGAGGCCCTCCAAGTCCGATAAGAACGATAATGCTCAAAAAATTTTAAACCCTCATGATTCGCCAACATCGGGAATGATTGCTGAAAGTTGTTCTCGTCCATCAGTATCATCAACAATTACCAATGCGTATCAAGAGTCGGGAACATTTGTGCACGGTTTCAATTTTGAAAATGCCTCATTAACTAATTGTACTTTTAATATTACTATAAATAAAAATTATGTTTAATTGTTGTTAATGACATTTGTATTGTTCCTTTGTGACATGTTTCATATTGTGGCCATGACAACATTTTTCCCTCCGCCGCGCCGTAAAGAAATGGGAAAAAAACTGCTGCCGGCGGAGACATCAAACTTTGACAGGATCAAGTTAGATAAGTAATGTCATCATTATTTGACGTTTGAAGAAAAAATTCCTTTTCTTGACTCAAAAACATTACAAAATATTTAAAAGAAATTAATTGTTATAAAATTTCTATAATAAAAAAAACTTAATTTTACTATTTTTCTTTACATTTATACGTGGTTTATAAAAATTGTTTTGTTGTAAAATATCTTTGTAATGTTCTGACGGCAGACTTAGATATATTGAGCAAATATTTTCGCAAGTGGCGGCTTCAACCAAATGCATCTAAAACAGAAGTAAGTTGCTTTCACCTGAACAATAAACTTGCTGGAAAGGAACTCAACATACGGTTTGAAAATACCACACTTTTCCACAACAAAACACCGAAGTATCTGGGCGTAACACTAGACAGAACGCTATCATTTAAAGAGCATTTAACAAAAACTGCCCAAAAGTTGAGTACAAGAAATAACATTATACAGAAGCTCTGCGGTACCACCTGGGGAGCATCGGCTTCCACTCTCCGCTCTACTGCTTTAGCCCTTGTTTTCTCGACCGCTGAATATTGTGCCCCAGTTTGGCTACACAGTCCACACGTAAAAAAGGTCGACACTCAGCTGCACAGCACTATGAGGATGATAGCTGGTACAATTAAATCAACTCCCACCCAACGGCTTCCAGTATTAAGTCACATTCCACCTCCACATTTACGACGAGTTGACGAACTTACACGTGAATACAAAAAGATCATGAACAATATAAACCTGCCGATCCACCAAGATACCGAGGATGCACGAAATACCCGTCTACGTTCTAGAAAACCACCAATGAAAACGGCAAGAATGATACATGAGGAGTTCAACATCACGAATGCATGGTCCCAAGAATGGAATGCATGGCAAAATAACATGCCCTGTATTACCCACAAGCCACCAGGTTTTGATCTTCCACGTAAAACATGGTCCACTCTAAACAGGATCCGAACCAGACATGGTAGATGTGCATACATGCTACATAAATGGGGAAAGAATCCGTCTCCTCAATGTGACTGTGGGAAGAACCAAACGATCGACCACATTATTGAAGAGTGTCCCTCAAGATCCTATAACGGTAGCCCTGAAGACTTCCTGTTTGCAACTTCAGAGTCAATTGATTATGTTAATACACTTGATGTTTGTTTGTAATTATTTAAAGTTTGTCATATACCTATATTACTAGTGTTTGTAATTTTGTTCTAAATGTGTTGTAATTGCCATACGATAAATAAAATAAATTTGTAATGTTTTTAAACCAAAAAAAGTAATTGTAAGAATAATAGACATAATTTAAGAAAAATTAGCACGTATAGATTTGATTTTCAAATGAGAAATTAATATTTTTGTAAAAGGCAATATTTACAAATATAATTAGTGTGACCAACTAGCCCGAAAAATCCGGGACATGGCCCGAATTACGAAGTCGTGTCCCGGCGTCCCAGACAATGCTTCCAGGCCATCCGAATTTTTAACTTTTTGGTAAAATTCTATTTTGAAATTTTAAATACGTTATTCTTCTAAGAATTCACATCGAATTGAATTGTTGGCACGAAAAAAAGTCAGACATTTCTATAGTGTAATACTATAATACCACATCCAAAACGCTGCATGCATTTCATCCTGGTATTATGTTGTAGAAAAATTCAAACGGTGAACTTTTTTTCATTTCTGTATTTTAATTATCCTCTTCCGAAAAGATTATTCAAAAACAATAACAATTCATGTATTGCATGCACATCAATCATGCCGACCGAGGTGGGCCGCATTCAACGATGTAATGATTGTGGATAAATGTTTTTTTTTCGGTTTGGTCAACCATTCTAAGTGGATAAACAAACTTCTTGATTTCATTTGCGCTATATTCTTGAAGAATAAATGATTTATTTCCAAACCGTTACGTGCTTTGAACCAAGATCAAATCTGCTGCGTTGTAATATGGTTTTATGTAAACATTTAGTTTATGTCACTAATCAGTTTGAAGCCTCAAATAGATTAGTGATCATGTACGAAGGTCCGAAGCATCGTTTAGTTGACTTTACATATTCCATTCCATTCTATTGTTAAAATTTAAACAAAACAAGAAAGTAAAAAGAGAAAACGCTATTGCACTTTTAATAAAACATTGCAAGAAGAATTCCCATTTAAAAAAAAAAAGTAACAGTGACGTAAAATGTGATACTTGTGGATCCGAATTTTCAATCAGCCACAGTGGTAGACTGGTTATAGTAAGTCACATCAAAGGTGAAAAACGCCAAAGAGGTATTAGCTCCGCGGCAAGCAGCAAAAAATGGACTAAATTTTTACAATTATTACAAAAAATATTTACATTTACTAGACGGCTAGAACTGGGATTATCAAACCGACTGTATTAACATTGACACATCATGTTTTTTGGCTGGTTTCAATTTAATAATATTCTATTCTTATACCTAGGTATCCGAAAACCTTTTAACGATATACTTAAACGAGTACCAGGTAACCCCTTGGGACGCCCTTAAGTACCTAATAGCTGGCGTCAGTTATGGAGGCCACGTTACCGACGATTGGGATCGAAGATTGCTGACAACTTACATTAATCAATATTTTTGTGAAGATGCTTTAAGCATCGCTTATTTTAGGTATGATTTTTTTAAAAATCTCTTAGCCACAAAATTATGTTCAATTTTCTACATTTGCAAACATTTATTTGGCACCTATAAACTCTGAAGCTATTTTCTTGTGGCATTGTAAATTAATTACTATTAAACTGGGAATAAGCCACAATTAAAGATAAAAATATGTTTATTGACGTTTCAATTTCCACTTCGGAAATCGTTCTCAAAATACAAACAGTAAATTAAACAAATTTTGTTTTTTGTTACATAGTGAAAAATTCTTCTAATAATTTAATTTTATCTGACTCATTTATATTGACAATTCAGACATACATTATGCATTTTAAAGTAGACGACTTTAAAATAATATTGCCAATATTGTTGAGTTGCGCTCCTGGGATGACTTTACTTATAAGATAGTTCATTCGATTACATTAAATCAACTTTAACTTGAGAATATCCGTCAGAAAAAATCATAGCATGTAATTCGTCTTTAAAAAGACAAACACATGATATGATGACAATATTGGCAATATCATTTTAAAGTCGTCTACTTTAAAATGCATAATGTATGTCTGAATTGTCAATATAAATGAGTCAGATAAAATTAAATTATTAGAAGAATTTTTCACTATGTAACAAGAAACAAAATTTGTTTAATTTACTGTTTGTATTTTGAGAACGATTTCCGAAGTGGAAATTGAAACGTCAATAAACGTATTTTTATCTTTAATTGTGGCTTATTCCCAGTTTAATAGTAATTAACCTATAAACTCGTTTTCATCGTTCTTGGCGTGTGCCTGAAATAAGCTACTACGGAATTTTTAATATTCGTCTCTCTCTGATACACAGATGCGTAATTCAATTGTGCGAGTCACGTTCGTCATGGTAAAGTGCGATGAGAAGATGAAGAGACCACTCACGTCTCCCAGTATTGTAGCAATAACACCGATGCGTTTGGCCGATACGGTGTCGGTGATAAGTTCGGCCTCTTTACGAATACAGATAGCTGGCAGTGACGTGTTTTTTTTAACATGTTACCCTGATCTGCGCAGGTTTGAAGTAGCTACAGTTTTTAATTAATTAATAGTTTGAGCTCTTACTGTGTGGAATTCCATTACATAAAATAATACTCTCGACACCTTAAAAATTTCAGTTTATTATAAATTAACTCTCTCTCTTCCGATACCCATTGCAATAATGACTTGTGGCATTGTTCTTGAATGAGCTGGCTAATAGGTTTATAATTGTAGCAATTACCATTGATATTTTATGTTGTTTTAGTCTATTTTAGTCAGTCATTATTGGAATTTGTTCTGAACAGTTTTACTTATTATTTTTTGTTGTGAATAACTAATTGTTCTATTTAATAACAAAAATTACCATACCAAAAATGCCAACGGACCTTTGCTTTCGTTATCATCGGTTCATGAACGAGTAGCGGACGCTTTGAAAATCAGTCTTCGCACAGTGACAAGAATAAAGAGTGAATACAAGACAGGGGCAGCTTTTACTACACCAGGAGAGTCACGTAATGTACAAAAAAAAAGACTAATGATGTCAGCGATACTATAAAAGGAGAGATTAGAAATGTACTGTATGGCATGAAAGCAAAAGGAGAGCACGTTACAGTTAAAGTTCTAATAACACAATTAAGAAACAAGCATCTCTATGACGGTTCTGATACAAGTTTGTGGCGTCTTATGAAAAATTGTGGGTTTTCATACAAACTAGAAAATAGTAGACGAGTGCTATGTGAGAAACCATGTATTGTTTCCAAACCACTGTATTTTTTGAGGCATTATATGAGAAATTTTTTAAGTCCAAGCCCACTTTAGTTCGTTTTTTTAGATGAAACATAGATATTCCTAAAAGGGGCATATAAACGTACTTGGCAAGATGACTGTGTGAAAAGCATCAGAAAAGGACACGAAAATACAGGTAAGCGCTTTGTCGTTTTACATGCCGGAAGTAAGCAAGGATTTGTTAAAAATGCTGGATTACTGTTTTCTACAAAATCGAAGAGTGCAGACTATCATGATTCTATGGATAAAGAGTCTTTTAAAAAGTGGGTCTCCAAAAAGCTCATACCAATGTTGGAGGAACCATCTCTAATTATTATGAATAATGCCTCATAAAATAGCTCTTTAATAGAAAAGTTACAAAATGCCAGTTGGAAAAAATCGGACTTACAAGAAAGTTACGAGCGAAAAAAATAATTTTTGACGACGATTTGGGCAAGACAGATCTATTGAGTCTTTGTCGCCAGAATAAACCACAAAATACCAGGTACGTTATAGACGAGTCCAAGAACATGGGCATCAGGTTTTAAGATTGCCTCCATATCACTGGTCAATATAATACGATTGAGTTGGTCTGGGGCATTTCTAAACAATACTATGATCGTCATATTGGAGAACATGGACGTGGAGATGAAACAGTGAAAAATGTTTGAGGCGATGCATTAGCTGAGGCAACACCTGCAGTGTGGACGAGTTGTGTTAACCATACTGAAAAATTAATTTAGGACGACTGGGCAAATATGGTCACATATGATGAAAATAAAAGTAGGATTATCATCGATTTGGCGGAAGATTCCAATGATGAAGACAGTTCCAGTGAAGACGCTGACTGATTAGCTAATTAATCAAGGTCAGTACGTTGTAACAGTTCAGAATTCGCTATAGTGCTTAAAACTTAAAAAATCTGTATCATTCTTTAATTAAAGTGGGTTAAATAATTAACACTTTTTTGGGTATATTTCAAAATCCTTTTAAAATGTACTTTTCGTTATATCCTGTCCTATTGTACTGCAAGCTAGAAAAATACTTCTTCTAATTTATACGTATATTCCGTTATTAGAAATTTAATGAAAAATAATTTATAATTTTCTTTTATAACTATTTTTTTTTTTGACATGCTACATTTTGCTCCGCCACTGGAGGAGGTAAACGTATCGAGCTTAGACAAGGAAAGACAGATGAAACAACTTATTGCAAGTGTTTTTACATGCACACGCCAAGAACGATGAAAACGATCCCAGACAGCACAGGACATCCCTGGGACGTCCATTTTATGTCGTTTTAATGTCCAAACGTCCCGGGACTTCTTTTGGACGTCCGAGGGACGTCCAAGGGACATTTCTAGTCGGACATACCAAAGATGTCCCATAAGGTCGTCCAAGGGACGTCCCATTAGGGATGTATTAGGGACGTTTTCTAGGTGTTAACTGTGTCATTTTTTTACTTAAGCATATTTTTTACAAAATATCATCTTCCTACTAAACTTTATTTTAAAAAGATATATTTAGTTTTAAATACCATTAATTTATACGAAAACAGACAGAGGCTCCTTTTAGAAAAAAATCTTTATCCTATAGCAGAGCTGTATCTCTAAAATTTTGTTCTGTAGTGGAACTGAAATTTAAAAATTAGGAGATAAAAGAAGAATGTGGTTATGTTTTAACGACGCTTCTATTTATCTCGTTTATTTCTCGAATTATAATCATTGTGGTTGTGGTTGTAATTAGAATTAGTTTATTGCTTTCGATACTAGTTTATAGTTTGGCAATTTATTATTATAGACATTAAGTAGGTATATAGGAATTTTATAGGTAATTTTTGTGGTTGTGGTGTGTTGCCACATTTGTAAAGTAAGTAGGCGTAATGTGCTTAAAAAATACTATAAATTTAAATACATATGTTAATAGAAGCACAATAAAAATCCCATTTATTTTTGCTTTTCATTTTATTAATTTTAAGTTCCCTTTAGGTCCTGTATACATCCTCATTTAGGTCCTATATTAGTCCATATGGACGTACAATGGATGTCCCCAATACATCCTTCTTAGGTCCTATATAAGTCCATATTAAGTTCTGTATATGTACTATGTACGTCCCCATGAACATCCCTGGGACGTCCAGGGGACGTACTTTTTGGTAACATTTAGGTCTTATTGGACGTCCCGGGGACGTCCAAATTATGTAAACGGATGTCCGTGGGATGTCCGGACATTTAATGAGGTACATCCTTTGGACGTCCATTGGACGTACTTGTGCTGTTTGGGATTATATCTATTATCAAACTAAGTATTATGATACAATAATAAATACTAAAAGTCTATCTGAATTAGCTTGTTCTGTAGTAAACTTAAACAAATTAAAAATAATTTCTTGTGCTTGGTATCCTAAACATTTCTTTTTACTGAACATTCCATTTTAATTCTAAACATAGTACCTATGGCTATTCATATTTTTCCAGGTCTTATTTCCGCCACGTCAACAAGAAATATTTAAATACTTGACAACACTGCAGTTAATTTAACGTTGGGAGCTCGATTCCTTTCGCTTGATGGTGCAATGTAACAAGACACTTCTTGCTTGTTACATTGCACATACAAAATACAGGGCTGTACCGGCCCTCATTTATACATATTTTCATGTACCAATAGTTAACGTACGAATCCGGTTCTGAAAATTGTACTAGTTCAAATTATTATCAATTGTTAAGTTCTTTTATATAATGTATCCATTGTTCGGCCCCATTATCTAAGATTTAAGTTCAAAACAATCTGATAAGTCAAAAAACATTTTACCTCCATAGAATTTACAAACCAATCTCTATTTAAAGCAGGGGTCTCCAAACTTTCCAGCCTTAGGGCCATACTGATTACTCCAGTAAGTTCCGAGGGCCAAGATGGCAACACTGTATTTTATATATATTTTTTTATATTTTATTATTATTTATATATTTTATATATTTCTGTATTTTATGTGTAATAGAATTTTGCTGAAGTGTGGATCATTTTTTGTAAAATAACGAATAATTTAATTTTTTGTAAGTGTGGTAAGCTGTCAACATTATTAAGTATGTCAAATATTTACCTATTTTTGATATATTTTAATTTAATACAAGGTAGACATAAACAAACAAAATATTTCCACCAGTGGAAATCTCCAATCTCTCCCGAGATTGTCCACTAATAACATAATTATTCTTTCTACTATTTTTCAACGCCATCGTTAGAAATTGTCACAAACACACTTAACTATCCGAAATAATAAGAAGTCTGAAAAATAATAGCCGCAAATCACTTAAGTGTTACGCACCTGATAACTGGGAGGAGACTAAAGACCCCACCTAAGTGAGACGAGTGCGAGGACGAAGCGATGACAATAGTGGCGTAACTACAAGTCAGTTCCTATGAAACTGTTGTGAAATAAAATAGGGCGTACCTCCTTAAAACAAGTTTGTGCGTGTAACAGTATTTTGATTTGATTTGAATTGTTGCTTTTGTGTGTGATTTAGTAGAATGGAAAAGAAGCGAAAAATTGATAGTGAATGCAGAAAATTCAAAGATCAGTGGAACATTCAGTATTTCGTAATGCTGATGACTTTTGATGCTGACATTGAAACCCTAGCCCCGGAACTTCAAATGGAAATGATTGATCTTCAGTGCAGTGATATAATTAAGAACAAATATGAAAACTCATCTTTGTTGGAATTTTATAAGAGTCTTCCACTGACACAATTTGATAGTTTGCATAAATTTGCTCGTGGGCTGTTTTCCGTTTTTGGTACTACTTATTTGTGTGAGAAAACCTTCTCCAAAATGAAGTACACAAAAAATGTATACAGATCTAAATTAACTGACGAGCATCTTAAATCTCTTTTAATAATTGGTACAGTTAAAATTAGTCCACAACTACAAACTATTGTCGGTGGAAAATCTCAATTACATACATCTCATTAGCATTTCATATGTCATGTTTGTTATAAGGTATGTGTTGTTCATTACTTACAATGTATAAAATGTTAGTTGGATTAATTTCAATAATTTGTTAGTTATTATATGCTGAAGTTAAATTTACTGCATAAATTATACATGTCTTTACTCATTACCATTCTGTGTTTCTTTATCCAACTTATCACAAACATTTTATTTGCTATAAAAAATATTTGGAGTTTTCAAGTATGTCTCCGCGGGCCGGACAAAATCTGTCTGCGGGCCGGATGTGGCCCTCGGGCCGTAGTTTGGAGACCCCTTATTTAAAGCATAATATAGTACTTTTTATAATATATTTATTGATTTAATTGATAGATTATCGTCATTATCCACATACTACATCCCAAGAGACGGTTCCATCCAGTCTTACCTCGATTATATAACTCTCCTGCCCAACGTAGACAGACCAGAAGCATTCGGGCAGCATCCAAACGCAGACATAACGTCTCTAATCAATGAGTCTCGAATGCTATTCGAAACGTTAATGTCTCTTCAAGTACAAACTGCCGCTGAAGGTGACCAATCGAAAGAACAAAAAGTGCATGAGCTGGCCGACGATGTGTTGAGTAAGTTGCCCAAGACTATCGACTACGAAAACACAGAGAAGTTAATGGGAGCTCATAAAACCCCCTTGGATGTGGTGCTTTTACAAGAAATTCAAAGGTAAAGAACAAAATTGTACTAATGCAATCTTCTTCAATTATAGTAGACTATTCTATTTGTCTTCTTCTTCTTCCTTCTTGCATGTAGGCTTTAAAGCCTATTTCTTCTTCAATATTAGCCTTCTAAATTGTTTAAATTATCGCACTCTTTTTCTTGGTCTGCCAATACTTATTCATCCATTTGGTGACTTATCTCGTGCTCTTCGTACTATCCTACCCTTTACAGTTCCACTCATGTTTCCATTTTGTCACTAATCCATTTATGTCTTCGGGAATTTTCATTTCCGTGCGTTGGAAAAATCTTTTTATTGATTGTTATAGCAATTTTTGGCAGTGAAAAAAGACAAATGAAAGTGGTCAAAAAATCTTGCTAAAGAAGCATGGATCGTCGATGAACGATGAATTACGGAATATCACTAGACAACTATAGTAAAATTCACACTGAGAGTGCAGTACCGTTAAGGTCGAGATCCGCATTTTCCAGATTTCACGCCATGTGCTTGGTAGCAAACAGGTCCAAGTAGTGGTCATGATGTCATGGTCGACTAGTCGAAAAATCCTTCGGATATTTTGACCTAATCGAACCTTAAGTGAAAATTTATGGAATAAACCAACCAAGAAAATATTATTAAGCAGACAAGGTGAATAAAATGGACATGGCTAACTCATACACTTCATAGATCCCACATGAGATTGCCAGGGCAGCGTTGGATTGGAATCGTCAAGGTTGCCCTAAAAAAACTTGAAAAGGGACAGTACTGGACGAAAGGGAAAGAAATCAGAAAATTTTTAATTTACAACGAAAACTCATTGTCTTTCTCATGGACGTATAAACACAGATGGACTCAGTTATTTACATAAAATTGTGAAGTCAAAATTATTTGAATAGGTCACATTCTCAGCACCTTCAACTGTTATCACGTTTTGTTTTAAAATTTCTTATTCGCGAGTCGCTGAAAATATTACTCCGTATTTTATACTCTACAGGTGCTATCAAACCAAAATAATAATTTATTGGTTAGATTAATATATTTAATTGTAATCAAAATATCAAGTGTCTACATAGTGTTCATTATCATTTAATAATAGCGTATAATAAATATCAATCAATTATTTTATATGTAGAGGCACTGAAAACTATTTATAAATGACAACGGTTGTTTACATTTCTCTGTTTTATGGATCTACGTCAAACTTCAAATACTGTTCTATGTTTGTTTACTTTTTATAGTAAATGAGAAAAAAGTTATTTTTCGATATTTTGGCTGTATTTTGAGTGATATTTGTGAAAAGTGAAATAAAATAAACGAAATATTTACATCCCGTTCTCTCATTTCATTTGTAAGTACATACAATTTACATTATTTAAGATGAGGAAATGAGGAAGCGTGTTTGTTTACATTTTAATAGGCGTACCATTGGGTTTATTCATGTTCATTAATGTATTGACTAAGATATGAGTTCATGAAATTAGTAGACATTTATAAATTGTAAGTAGACATCATCTGATTAAAAAAGATCTGTTTAGTACCTTTTTAATTTAATATTTCTCATGGATACAAATAAATTAGTGAAATGAATAAAACTCATTTATTTTTCTATGTATGTTTCCAAATAATATTGACGATCGAACTATTTGGGTAGCAAATTAAGGAGAAAACATAAAGATTTTTTATTGTAGCATTATTTTGATACTATTAAAAAATTAACTTAAATTCAACTATATTTGTTAATAGTTAAACTCTCGTTTTTTTTTTAATTCTTTGAACGTGTTTTTATACATTATTACTACTTCCAATTTTTAAAATTTGAACAATTACCCGCGAGTAAAAATTCAAGCACGCTTATGCTCATTGCGGAAGCATCACATTCTATCGAAGCTTCAAAACATTGTGTGTTAAAGGTATCTTATTGCTGTGTCCATCTATGTTTATACGTCCATGGTCTTTCTATACCTATTTTGTTAATATTTTCTCAACATACTTTTTAGATATAATACACTCCTACTAGTGATCCAAACCTCATTGGAAGATTTGGGACGAGGAATACGAGGTTTGGTAGTTATGTCATCGGAATTGGAAGAAATCTTTGATTGCATATTTGACGGGAGAGTTCCGTCTTCTTGGCTAACTGGTAAGTCATTAAATATTTAAAGGATATGATTGTAACCATGTATTTTTCTGGCAATCTACAGCTTATTCGTCATTAAAGTTATTGGGAAGTTGGACCAGAGACCTTGTGGCACGCGTTGAGCATTTCAGTGTGTGGGCTAAAACGCTTCGTCCGCCGTTGTTCTTTTGGCTTGCCGCTTATACATTCCCCACCGGATTTTTAACTGCTGTGCTTCAGGTTAAGTATATTATTTATATTTACATTTAAAACTGTGGATTTTTGACCCTAATTTTTTAATTAAATAAATAAGTTGAAATTTTTTTATTTAAACAAATATACCCGCATCAATCACTAAGGATTATAAGCGGAGGGACATACACAAACAGTAAGATACATATTGTTAGATAAACATTTTTTTACAATCCGGTATATAGTTTAGTCATTTTAAAATAGCTTAATAAAGACTGTAAGTTTGACGTTAGTACGTTTTTTTAAATTGCCAAAAAGGGCACACGCGATTCTTTCGTTCTGGTAAACTGGACACTCGAAAATAATGTTTCACTGACAACTGAGTGTTGCACTTGGTACACATCGGAGCAGCATTTTCTGGTTGAAAATATGCTTGTGGGTAAGGAAAGTATGCCCTATTCGGAGTCAGTTGATGATGACTTGGTCTTTTCTATTACTTGCTAAGATGAGTTTGGTTCCTACTTGACTTAGACATTCCTTGAGTTTGTTGGCAGTATGATCCCAAGTAGTTTGCCACGCTCTGTACATATGGGCTTTGATATTTACTTTGTGATCAGTCCAAGGCATTTGATTTATGATAGCAATACTTTGGTCGGTTGTTGCATTGCTTGCCAGAGAGTCCACTTATTCCCATATGGGAAGGTACCCAGATGAAGGAAATGTCTTTTTGTTGAGTCTGTAGATAAGATATCTCTTCTTTGATCTTGAGAAGTATGGCGTGAGTTGTATATATCTGTTTTATTCCAAGTAATGCGCTCATTAAGTCAGTGGTGATAACAAATTTTCTTTCATTGATAGAACCACAATGTTTCATGGCCTTGTGAATTGCCGTAAGTTCTCCAGTATATATACAACAATTTGTTGTGATTCGTATGGTAGACTTGACATTTTCGTAGACGTAGGCTGCAGCATGTTGGAAGCATCAGTGAAGATTTGATGGGTTGTTAGGTATTTGGATATTACATTTTTATAAGCTTGCTGTATAAGGAAAGGATGTGTGAAATGTTTCAGGAGTTTTTTTTTAGAGACGTGTCTATTTTTGGAGGTTTGATCATCCAAGGAGGAAAATTTACATGAATAGGCATAGTAAGACTGAACTGTTCTAAATTAAGACCAATACGTTTTATTCGCTCAGGAAATGGTAGTTTTTTTATTGCAATGTTTCTGTTAAGATCGGACGATATATTTGTTCTGCAAAGTAGTCATGGAAAATACAGTTAATTTGTAGTAATAGGTTCCATCGTTCCGGTGACCGACAGGTAAAAGGTTCCGGTAACCTATTACTTTTGTCGCCTATTACCCAAGCCGCAAGCACCTCCATTTCGCTTGGCTTGCAGTAGTTTCTTGTGGTAATCCTAATGCCGAGTCCAGACCAAACAGACAAAACAAAAACATTCACGTTTCGCCACAAAGTGGCGACAAATCGAAAACATTTGTTGAGACATTTCTGAACAATTTTGTTTTGTTTGCAAATTTGAAAACTTTTTCAGGTCCCGTCTCAGGTCGGTAAAGATCAAAAAGTCTGTGTTTTGTCTGTGTATTTGACGACAAGTTGTCGGCGCAGTGTGGACGCGTGTGGGTGCCAAAACGAGTTAAGCAGTAGAAGAAATAAAATGTACAATTTTTATCAAAATTAAGTGTATTTTTCTGTTACTTAGTCTCAACACAAATGTTCACTCAACTCCATCCAACTCCAACCCACAACATTTGTACTCAAATCCACCCAGCACTGACACACAACATTCATACTCAAATCCTCCCAGCATTGACACACGTTCATACTCAACTCCTCCCAGCATTGACACACATTTATACTCAAATCCACCTAGCATTGAACATTTATACTCAAATCCACCCAACACGCAACATTCATACTCAAATTCACCCAGTGCTGACCCACAAAACTATTACTTAAATCCACCAAACACCAACACACAACCTTTATTTTCACATCCACCATATAGTATTGACACAGAGCTTTCTCAGTATTCAGATCAAGAAAACGAACGAAATTGATGATGAACTTTTTGAATGTAAAAACAAGTAGACTCGTCATTATTTTGCATGTAGTATGTACCTATCATCAACTTCTTTTGTATTAAACATTTAACCAATAAATATGGAGTTTATTTTAAGGGATATTAACACAAAAATAGTAATGAAAAAAGTTTAACATACCTGTACATAACCACTAAGACTGTTAATTAAAGCTTTACACACTTCAGGTATTATTACAGATATTGATTGCTTTGATACTTTTGAAAGATACATTAAGCTGTGGTAGGAATCACCTGTTGCTAAAAATCTTAAAGTGATTGCTAACCTTTCTGTTACACTCATAGCATTTCTAAAGTTAGTACGTCTTTTTGCAACTGCAGGACCAACAAGGCATATTAGATTCTCAAAATCTTCGGTGGACATTCTTAAAAATGTTTTGAAGCTTGATCGAATTTCACCACTTAGTCCAATATCATCTGTTCGCAGCTGAACTAACAATTTGTCTTTCGAACAACTTTCTCGCATTTTTAGGCTTGGTATAATCCAAAAACGTTTGGGTTTTTGCAATGCAAAGTATTATTGAGTAGGTTACGTTGGTGTTGTTTGCTGAAATTCTGGCAACGTAATTTAGTGATACGAGTTGCCTTCGTTAGCTTAAGGGCAGTTCATTAGCCAGAGCTTGTAAGATACTTACTGGACTAGTTCTTGTGGCACCTAAAACTAATCTCAAGCACATATTTTGAATGTAGTCAAGTTTTTTTAAAGATGTTTTGTTAGCAGTATCATAGCATAAACAGCCGTAGTCTAGTTTACTTAGTATTAGTGATCTGTATAGAGTAAATAAGGTTATTGTATCTGCCCCCCAAGAGGTATTTGATAGCATTTTTAGTAGATTAGTTCTGGATTGCAGATTAGAAGTACGTTGCAGATTGGTTGTGTGGCTTTACCAATTTTAATTAAATTCAATAGAAAGTCCTAAGAAATTTATTTCTTCTGCGTGTTTCAGTACAACTCCATTTAGTGTTAATTGAACATTAGGATAATTTTTTCTTTTGCTAAAAATTAAATATCGTATCTTTTCACTAGAGAATATAAAACCCGTTTTTGCGACCAGCTTTCAAATATGTGTAAGGTATATGTGTTTCCAGAGTAACATTGTTTCAAATTTCAAATTGAAATTAAAAACGATTTTCTTCGAGATTACAAACGCTGTAGTTAGATTAGGTTAGGTAGGTGAGGGGGAGGGAAAACTGGAATGGGCTAAATAGCAATAACATTGTGTTAAGGGAAAGTTTGCTCAATAATTCTACCTTTCTTAGAGTCTATCTTCTATCTTGCACAGCTTAATGAGTCTTAATGAAGTCGAAATGAGTCATAGTATGAATTAAAGCAGACTTTCAGCGAGAAAAAGTATCTATACAGTTATTTCTGATTACAGACAACAGCACGTGCCGCAGAAGTACCAATTGACACCTTAGGATGGGATTTCACCGTATTAACAATCGAAGAACAGATGATCCAATTACCTCCAGAGAACGGCGTTTACGTCAAAGGGACGTTTTTGGAAGGAGCAGGTTGGGATAAGAAAAACGCTATGCTAATCGAGCCGCAACCTATGCAACTCGTATCTTACATGCCGCTGATTCATTTCAAGCCGGTGGAACAACTCAAAAAGAAAACTAAGGGTATGAACTTTTGAATAACTTTGATGTGTAAAAAAAATCATCGATAAACATTTATTTTTAAGGTCTATATCAGTGTCCATGCTACTACTTTCCGATAAGAACAGGATCTGCTAATAGACCGGCATTCGTAGTTGCTGTTGACTTGAGAGTAGGTCTTGAATCTTCAGACTTTTGGATTAAACGAGGTACCGCATTATTGTTAAGTTTGGCCAATTAGATGTTTATTCATTTAGTGTTAATAAAGAATTTATTTAGTCTTGTTTTATTTTAAAATATTTTAGTTATATTTCTGAAAAAATAAATACCAAAACTATGGCTCTTGGAAATTAATAAAAATAGTATGATATTGGGACACATACCTGACGAGGGATGTGACAAGTCTATGGACTACTATTTTGTTTGCACTTGATTGATATTGATATAAGCCTTCGAGATGTGGTTATACAGAAGAATCCTAAGGATATCATGAACAGACAAGAACCAACGAGACTGTCCTACGAAGAATGGGGAAAGAAAGAGAAGTGATGTATATGATTAAAAGGAAAGTTGGAATATCTCGGACACATAATGAGAAACGGCACTAAGCCACTAAATACAGATTACTGAAAATAATCCTTTAAGGCAAAGTAACTGGAAAGCGAGGAATTGTTAGAAGAAGAATATCATGGTTAAAAAACCTGAGGAAATGGTTCTAGACAGCAACAAGTAATCTATTTAACCCTTAACTGGTCCGGTACTGTAGCAGTAGCGTAACTGGTCCGGCGTAGTCTGCGAAACTACTGTTTTCAAGAAAGCAAGACAACACTCAAAAATTATTTTTTTATTAAGAAAAAATGATACAAACATACCCTGATATATTTATATAAAAGTGAACGTATTAGATTTGGGCATTATTTGGGTTAGGAAAAAAATATTAAAATAAAACTGACATCCATACAAATATTTGTGAAAAAGTACATAGTTTTGTAAAGTAATTAAAAAAATATATAAAAAAACACTATGAAAAAAAATGTATTCCTAGGATAAATGTTAAAACTGCACACTAAACAAAAAACTAGATAAAATAAAAATCGATCAAAAATGTTTTGTTTCCAGCATCAGTCAAACCTTATCAATTTTGTATGCAATTTTTACAAAGTGGTTTTGTACATCCCAAACAAACAGGCTTTTTGCAACGCAAGCACAGGTATTTTGTCATCCTGCGATTTCTACTCGGACACAAACTGCAAATCTTGCGTTTTTCTAAAATAAGAACATCCGTCTGATTGTCCTCTTGTTAAACGAAAGAGAAGTGTTTTAACGACTGAACAAAAACTAGAGATTTTAATCAGAAGTGAAAAGGATGAAAGTCTCACATCATTATCACAGAGCTACGAAGTTGGTAAGCAAACAATACGCGATATTAATAGAAACAAATTGAAACTACAAAATTTTATATCTCAATTTTAAGTTAATTTTAAGATAATTAATTTTATCTCTCATTCCTGAAGTAAAGTTATATTTGAAGAAAGAAAAATTACCACAAAATGCTGTTCTTCTTCTGGATAATGCTCGTGCTCATCCCAATGAGGCGACCCTAAGATCTGACGATGGAAATTTCTTTGCTCTTTTTTTCCAATCAATATTACATCCATTGCTCAACAAATGGATCAAGGTGTTATTGAGACAATGAAACGACTCTACCGAAAAGAATTTATGAGATGAAGTTCATCTGATGAAGTTTTGGAAATCGTTCACCATAAAAGATGCAATTTTTACAGTGGCAAATGCATTGAATGGAGTGCCACTTTCAAAAGAGGTTTTAACAAAATAATGACGCTAGAGGAAGATGAAAGTATCATGGAATATGATGATAAAGATACTACCATAGCTGAACTAACTGCACTAGTGCGAAACGCCGATGTGTTTCAAGAAATTGATGAAACCGAGGGTTGAGAGATGAACAGAGTGTGATAAAAATGAGTGAGGCTATCAGCTCTTCAGCAACGACGAAATTGTCGAGCTGGTTTCCCATAGACCTGATACGTCACGACCTGATTCATCTGAAAATGAGAGTCAAGATGAAAACAATGATGAAACGTTATTAATCAACAGAATAACTAACCAAAAGGCTGAGTTGTCAATGTTGTAATAGACTATTTTGAGCAACAAGAATCTTCAGACTTTGTCGATATTTTAAATTTGAGTAAAATACGTCAAAATTATAAAAAATCAAAAACTCTTAACACTGGCCAAAGTGACTGTTTTTTTTTTTCAAAAGCATAGCCACCAAAAATATATAATACCTTTATGTAGTTTTTATTTTTATTATTTAATATAAAAATTTATTTTGGTAGAAATCTGTTTTTTGTTCTGTTATATATGTTTTTATGTACTATAAAATTTAGTTTGAACTTATGAGTTTGATTTTTTCTGTTATCTTTTTATGATAGGTATACAGATTGAACGAAATAAATTCGGAACATACGAAATATTATGTACTTCGGGTCAATTTTGCTGTAGGTGGTTGGACAACAAAAGGTTGTCAAATAATTATATTACAAAAATCCAATACATCAGCGGGCTGCTGGATTCTGAACTCATTCAAGAACAAAATAGGTTGCCCCGCCCATCACGTATAAAAATTGAAAGCTACACATAAATCTAGGATTTTATTATGCTGTCAAACCACATATCGCTTCCTAAAGTCGGTCACTCACGGTTCGACATAATCGGACAGCGGCGTTGTTCAATTTGTTGGTATATCTGGTACGCCCACACACCATACTGCACCGCAGTATTTGTTCGGTTCTCGACCATGTCAAATCAAACAATCATTTTAGCGTCTCTTACTTTGTGTATAACATAACTAAGCGTAAAAAGAAACCTAAAATAAAACGTAGATGCTGGTGCAAAGAATCCAAGATTTTGGTGCAAAATAAATCTCGTCTGCCCCTGCACCCGATTTATTGGACTGCAATGCTAATTTTAATTCTCTTTTATAGGATGTTCTAAAATTGATAATTTTTTTTTCTTACATACTCTTCATTCACATCTTTGTTTACTTCTTGGAACTTTAAAACTAGAATGTCCATTGCCTGTTTTCGGTCGTTTCTATCGTGATACGTTTTACCTTTTATTCGCTATAAGCATTCTTATTTTTTATATAATTCAAAAAACTCTCAAAAATTCTCGCTAAATCAACCCATGTCGATTTTCTATAATATGATCAAAGCAAGTGTGTAGTTAAAAATGTATTTTTGCAGTATCGACAAATTGTAAACGGTCACACACGCTCAACAAATTGATGAGATCAACTCTGCAGTACTGCAGCAGACAGGCCAGTCTGTCTGCGGTCGAATTGTACGATTTTATTGGATGCACGGTCACACACGATCAAAATCCTTGTCAATTCGTCGAACTTGACAAAGTTGAACAACGCCGCTGTATCGTGAGTGGCCGGCTTTAGGCAAGCCCCTATTTCATTTATCTAAGCAGTCAGATGGATATTTTGAGCGGTGTTGCCAATCTCATTCCTCTAGATGTTTCTCAAATAAGGTGTTAACCATAAAATATTTACAGGAAAGAAAGGAAATAACTACAAACCATTAAGTTTATTTTTATTATTAGTCTGTTGTAGTAGATTGGTAAATACAATGAAAAATATAGGCAAATATCCGATTTATTTAAAGATACGAAGAATATATTACTCTCAAAAAGATCCGTAAATCGGATTATTACACGGCGATTGGCAACATTGACTTTGGGAGGCACTATAGACTATGGTGCGGCCCAAAAAGTGAGAGATAGTTGAACGATTTTTTATACAATGTCTATCACCGGGTACGGATTTATTTTTGTCCAAGTTTTATATTGGTCCACTATTTCAAATGCAGTTCAAACAGACATATATTAAATTGTATGATCCGTTTTAAATTTGTTCAATCTATATGTATATATAATGGACATATACATTAAAAAAAATGTTCGGATTATCTGTGCCACCGCCGGGTCCCGTGAAGCACGGATAATAGGGGTTCTACTGTACTTTTTTTTTCAGTTTTAGGAACTCTCGCGATTCATTAGTTCTTTAGCTATTTTCTCTCACTTTATTGTCTTAGGAGAAATCAATATAAAACTCATTTTTCTCTTCTACATGAAAATCATGTTAAATTGCTAAGGGATTGCAAGTCAGATCACAACAAAATTCGCTTGAACAAAAATTATTTGGATTAGTTTTTGCACCAACTTGTTTTGTTGGATTTGTTTTTGTGCTACACATAATTCAAATATAAATAACACCACTGGGTAATTAAACAACAATTTTTATTTAAAATACTTATATTTAAATTACCTTAGCTGTTTATAATACTTCAACAAAGAGTCACTAATATCTGAACTTAAATCATATTTACTAAAATTCTCATTAACTACATTTAAAACTTTTTTAACTGTACTCCTTGATAAACGTTTTAAGTCTCGTTGAATGTCCTCTTGTTTAGTACATGATATCAAATAACATTGTAGCTCTAAAGCAGAGTCAAAAATATCCCCCACTTCATCTTTAATATCGATAAGTTGCTCTAAAATTTTAGTCACTGACAAAAATATATCTGGTATATAATTCAATTTGAGATTTGTGTATGTATAAGCAATGGCAGACATAATAAATATTAGATTGTCTGTTACTGGCAGTAAGTTTTCTTCAAGGCAGAAAAAACCAAGAATTTTCAAAATTTCATTAACAAAAATATTTGAATTTGCTTGAATTTGTGTGAGCAATTGACTTTTTTCAAAATGTTCGATATATGCATAGACATTTACAATGATTTCCACCATATATCTTATAGATGAGACTTTTTCTTTTGTATCTGGATCAAACTGCTCCCCATCCATTTTCATTAAGGTGTTATAACAGATCATCACTGAATCATACACATTATAAGTCACTAGGGCTTCTTTTATTCTAAAATTAGTAGTCAACTTAGCTATTGCTTCCATTGTTTTTAAGAGAAGATCAGTATTTACTGAATTTTTTAAAATAAAACATATCTGTTCAAAAATGTCTTCATCTATTAAAGAAAGTATCAAATCTGAACTTTCTACTGATACTGAAATAAATCGCATGACTTGCACTAACACTAAAGGGTCATCAGACTGTAGTACCCCCAATATAATAGTAATTTCTTCTTTTTTCATACTATTATCACAACCTGAACAAAATACATTAGCTAAAACACCAATAACTATTTCTACAAATCGATTGTTCTCACTATGTTGAATAACTGCTGCTGTAGTTATGGAAGGATATGATATATCTAGTAAGAATTTACACACATCCCTCTCCACAGTCATGTCCCACAAAAAACATAAGTCTTCTTCAACTTGTTCATCCCACTGTAATTCTGAAAACTGCAAAAGAGTCTTCAACACAAACGACTGACTGTACAAAGTATCTCCTATGGTGTCTCCTTTCAATTTTTCTGCTGTTTCTTTATCTAAATCATTTGCATCAATATTACTGCTTAATCTATAACCATTGTCGTCAACCACTGTATTGCTATCTTCAGACTTGGTGTCTTTTTCTTTAGTCATTTCTGAATTACACTCTGAATTTTCCATTGCTATTTTGTAAAATATAATTATAATATACTAAGAAGTAAAATGGTATGAATGGACATATTATTTTATATTTTAATTACTTATACTAATGCACGGCAGTTAGATTTTTACTCCTATAAACTTTAATTTTGTCCGAAACAGAAACCTAAAGTCTGTATTTGTTTCGAAATTAGTTTTTGATTAAAATATTCCACAAATTTCAAATAATCAAATACTAGTTAGTCCCTCTGAAGAGAGGTACACTTTGTTGTTGGCTGTCGCTTGTCTTAATAATGTCAATTTAATGAAAACAATGTTGTCTTGTTATTTATTTAAAATTCCTTATAATTCGTCTTACTGTTTTATTAATTTTTAAACAGACTTTAAATAAATAGACCGAAAAAACAAATTTTACGAGTGTTGTATTTTGCGTGATATATTGTTCACTTTGACTTAAAAAATTTGCTCTGTAAAATAATCAGCTGTACTATATTGATTAATAAAAACAGTCAAACCAAAAAACCATTTTGAAAATATTTACTTTTGTTATTATTATTATTTATTTAAAGTTTCTGAATAAAAGTATACACAGAAATTAATTGTTTAATTATGTAAAGGCAGATTTACTTTTTGCTATTTTTACCCGTTTGACATCAATGTTCAGACCTCAGGCTTTTACGTATTGGGTTGTGCAGCCCGTAGTAGATTGCCAAGTTTTTAATGAACTACATACTAGTTTTGCATGCATACATAATATCCCTTTTTATTATGACATGTTTTATTTTTTACATTTTTGATAGATTTACAATTATTTTGCAGATACTTAATTTATATTCTTTTATTTACGATTATGATTGACATTTGACATTCGACATTAAAAGAGCAGTTGTCAAACCACTAGTGGGTCGATGTCGATTTTTAATGGCGGTTTGCTTATTTGTAGGGAAAAAGTATAAAATGTAATTATAGAATATCACTGTTAGTGATTCTAAAAATTGTGTGTGTCTTTAGCAGTGCGTTGAACTAAAGTGAGCCGTGTGATAAAAAACTTTCCGATGTGGAAACAGTTACAGATGGGACTTCGGGCCTTCTTACTAATAGCCTCTAGAGTTTGGACATGCGTCTGCTATGCATTAAAAAAGCAGACTAGATCGGTGAGTTTGATTGTTTTAGTTTTAATTATAAATAAAATTTGAACATCAGTGTGCAACAATATTTTGTTATAGATGGTGTTTTCATTCATTATTCCTGAAGACAGTCTTCAGTCAAGACTTAAAATTGTGATAGTACAGTTAAGAACTAATTGAGTAGAATGTATGGAAGACAAGAATATGAATAACAGACAAATCAAATTATGCAGTGTAGAGACCATTAACAACTAGTTTCTAGTATGGAGACCACAATGTATAAGATTTTTAAGCATTATTACAGAGTAGTAGCAGAAACTGTAAAACTATAAAGTATAGCAGTTACTAGGAGATGGTTATATCTGACTGTGAATGGTAAACAGCAACTTAAAAGAAAGGGGACTAGAATTTGAATTTTTGTTTTATTTTTCCATTGATGTAATATTTGGGATTGCTTAATGTTGTACCTTTTGAGTCAATATTTTTTGGCAATGATCTACTGGCATTTTTCCAAACAGTGAACATTTTTGAATAATAACTAATTTTTCTTTTTTAGATCATTCAACACCAATCTGTAAGATATGATATATTTCCTTTATCACCTTTATCAAGACATAGGTTAAGTAAGTATAGTGGATATTTTTTATCTTTTAGTTTTAATAGAGATAATCTAATCAGTGGTGTGACTATTTTTGTTTATGATCTGTACAGGTGTTAATTATTAAACAAAGTATTGAAATGTTTTAATATTGTTGAAAATATTGAGTTTTTATGAATTTATATGTGTAGGGAGATTTTACACTGTTATTTCAGAAAGTAAATAATAAATATAGAAATATGTTATTATTATTTCAATCTTGTGAAATATTAGCAATAGTAGTTATAATAAAGTCAAGAAAAAATTAGGATTAAAAAAAAATAGACTTTTAAATGAATTGTTATGCAAAGAAATTGTATGATAACTTTTATTTCAAAAGAAAATGAACAAGCATTTAGTAAATTATGTTTTTTGTGCAAAAAATGTAAAAATGCATATTTGAATTGCTAACTGCAGAAAGGCAACAAGTCCAGTTTTGTCAATTTTTCAGGAGAGACAAAAACTTTGTAAAAACACACTACTGCTATTAATTTTTTTGCATTTAAGGTGTATGTGATTGGGCATTCTGGACTACTACATACTTATAAAACATTTTGAGAGGAAAGGATGGAGAATTTTTTGTGTTAAGGACATGATCTCTTTCTGCTGTAAACAAGAAATTTTAAGAGGTTTTAAGGAAAACCGTCAATATTGAGAATTAATTTTAATGAGATAAAACAATGTCCTATACATGAAATACAGCAATTAAATCATAAATTAAAACTTTGTAAAGTACAGTTGAGTATGCTCTTCTAGTAGGAGCGTGAATTGGCTGTACTGCATTCCGTAGTTTGAATTTATCCATTATGAAGCCACTGATGTTCATACTACATTGAACTGTGTTAGGATCGTTTGATGAAAAAGTCATTTTTCTGTATTGTGATAAGGCAAAAGCCATTTTTGGTTTCTTAGGACATTTTTGTCATCAATTTGCTGCAAATTTTTGATGATTTCATTATATGCTCTTCAACCTCATTAATAGTATAATATTGTTCTTGCTTTAATTTTCTTCTGATGATGCCAAAATCTCCTTCATTTGGCATAAAAGAGTGCAATAGATGGGACAAACGGTAACAGTGATTTGCAGTGTATCCATAGGTTTTCATAAATCCATTTTTACATACTTTTGTACTTTTTCCATTGAGTACTACATAATAAATCACACTGAAAGCCTTGGGTTTCACAGTTGACAAACTAGACCTGAGTCTTTCCCTTGCAATCTGACTGTTTTCTATAACAGATTGGATGTAAATGTTATGTTCCATTTTGGTTATCATGTTGATGTAGTTTGGCAGATATTTCAACCATATCTTTTTCTTTTAAAACTCCAAGGCAATCGGATTTGCAACTGAAACAACAAAAGACTTTATTGTAACAGTAATTCAGTGAAAAAGATATTGGAGATAAGTAAATAACTTTGAGGTTAGGTTTTAGTAGCCTAATATTACTTCGAAATACATACAAGATTAAATTATCAGTAAAATGGTATTTAAACCAAAATGTACAAATTAACAACAATGAATAAAACAATATTTACCTGCAAAAATTTGAGCCTGGTTTTTTAGCTGGTACAGTTTTGCCAACCCAGTTTACATGTTCTTGTCCAGCCACTTCTTTATTATGTTCCTTTTATATTTGTCATTATTCGTAAAACCTTTTCTTTTCTTGTTTACACACCATTCCACTCAGACAGCAACAATCATCAATAAACAAAGCACAATATTGTCTGACTAAACTCAGCTGTGAGGAAACAATTTTAATAAAATACACAAAATTCGTACATATTGGACATGATGCCCTTCTGCAGTTAGCGATTCATTTACTATCTATATTTATTTTTTTTTAGTTCATAATTTTCAAATAAAAAGCAAAAAAATTATGCTCATTTTCCCCTTTGACCATTTTTATTGTTGAAAATAATGAGTTTTATATGTATACAGAGAGCCATTTTAAGCTATTATTTGAGGCAAGAAACATTAGATTGTGCAATGCCTTCAATAGTAATCATAAAAGCTTAAAATTTTTAAGAATTTGAACTTGAAAAAAGAAATTGTATCAAAACATGTATAAGAAAAAATACAGCATGTCTTTTAGGTTTTTAAAAACTCTATTTACCACTATATATAGTTAAATTTTTAATAATAAAGTAAATAGCTAAATATAAATGTTACCCATCATTAATTTTGTTTATAAACATCTCAACTTACTCTTTATCATAAGTTTGTGGGATCTAGAGGGGATGTTTACATTAATAGTATGATTTTTAATATTCAAGGTTGAGACCTTACCATAGATAAGGTATCATATAATTAAAAATGCTGGATTTATTTATGCAAACAATAATTTTCTAAATGTATACATTTATTAAGTCATTGTTGTGTAAGGTTAATTATGATTTATGTTTTTAATCATTAATTAGCATTGGAATCGTGTTTTTAATAAGGAAATCAGAGAAAAATAGTGTTCATATATATGGACTACTAGGGAGATTTGACATTAATCCATCCCATGTAAGAAAAAACATGTTTCTACAGTTTTTCTCATTTATTTTTTAACATAGTTTCCAGTAGCCACTTGTGATAATTGAAGTTTGGAGAATAAACATGTAATAGTTGTTCACTGTTGCCAAATTTCTGCCATTCTCTCATATATCTGTTAAGTTATTGTTTTTTTTTATTGTAGGTATTGTTAGAAGAAAAGTACTCGTTCTGGATTTAGATGAAACATTAATACATTCACATCATGATGGTGTGGTCAGGCAAACAGTGAGGCCGGGAACGCCGCCCGATTTTGTCTTGAAAGTTGTTATTGACAGGCATCCTGTTAGGTTCTTTGTGCATAAGAGACCCCATGTTGACTTTTTCTTAGATATAGTAAGTATCCAATTAATAATAATTCAATGCATCTAGCAAAAGAGGCAGATATTAAAAAATTTAGATACTGTACTTGTCTAGAAATGTGAAATTCTTGATTCATTGTGTTAATAAGAAACTGTGTAGTGTCACTCCACGGTTTGGGTAATTTTTTTCTTATTATTTCATGGATTTCAACAGAAATATAAAGCTAGTAATGTTGATTAATAATTTGGAATTTAGGAATGTAGTGAAGGTACACAATTCCATGAATCCTGAAAAATACAGTCATAAGTAGAATATAGCTTCACCATTCACATGAATACATTAGCAGTTCAAGCACACTGCGATTTGAAATGGGTGTATCACTTACATTTTTACACTGCTTACGCGAGACTATCTTTACTCAATGGCGTCGGCCAACGGGCAACAAATGCATTACACTCCATTCAAATTAGTTTTAACACGAACTAACTGACTGTACGCTCATGAGATTTGAAGTCACGAAGGCGATAACTGTGAAACTAAGTGACAATAATGAGTAACACGTTTCACTATTAGATTTTAGTATTTTTTAGCAATTTTCTTCAAAGTTTGAACACGCTTTTCTCGATTATTACTGGACACAGAAAGGTGAAAAAAAAAAATCAATGATTACAGAAAAAAAAAACTCTTTCAAGCGATGGGTGTAAAAAGTTTGGTTATAATAGAACATTAAACAGTATAATCCAATTTTTCAACAGAAGTAACAACAAAATAAAAAAAGTAAAACCGTCACTTTAAAGGCAAAATAATTTTCAAATAATGTGCCCAAATTTCGAGACATTTTGTCGGTAAATAACAGTTCCTAGGACTTGGTGCACCAATAAAGCAGCCTTAACCCATGGCCAGATTGAACTAGATTAGGGATTTTTTTGATATTGTCATTAGTTTTTTATTTGAACCACTCAAAAACATGTATATGATAAAGATTCCTTATCATTATTTCAATAAATTTCAATTTCAAGTTTCACTAGCAATTTTTTCTGCCTCATTTGAAATTTACAACATTCAAAATAGAAGACTTGACTCCAAGTATTTTTTTTTACTGAGACAGAAGGGATGCCTTTATATGTGTTCTTCATAAACTTCAGACATGCCTATGACACAATAAGCAGAAATCAATTGCTAAAAACTATGAAAAACCTGAAAATATCTAGAAAATTAATAAACCTAGTAAAAATAAGAATAAAGAACTAAAACAATGTGATCCCTTGTCTACAATTCTGTTGGACGAAATAGGACAGAAACTCAAAGAAAGAAGACAAAGAGCTGACAATGTCATAACCCAACATGAACCAATAAAAAAAGTATTTTTATATACCATTGCAAAAAAAGTAAACCTAAACAACAATGTACATAGATCAAAATGCTTGAATAGAAAAAAAAAATATGGGAGAGAGAAGTTTTAAGAAGAATTCTAGAGGAAGTCAAAGGAGGCCTCTACAGAAGAACTAACACTGAGGAAATTAATTTATGTGAGGAATCTTCAATAGTCCAAGTAGCCACAGTAACAAGACTAAGATGGCTAGGACCATTAGAAAGAATTAATGAAGAAAGCGTACCTAATAAATTACAATAAGTAGAATTGAAAATGGGACGTAAAAGAAGAGTAAATATCCTAGAAAAAATTGGCTTGATAAGGTGCAGCAGGACATTCTGAACAGACATTCAACAACAGACAAAAGACATTCAAAACTGGCAAGTGAAGGCCAAAGCATCGAGCTTTAGGTGCTAAGGTGTGCCTAATCTTCTGTAGCAGTGTAAGGTTTTAATGTTTAATAGGCCTGCCCACTTTATACTATTACAAGTTCGGGATTTTACCCCTTTACACCCTAAAAATCGTTTGATTTCTCATATATTAACTTTAATAACAGGTTTCACAATGGTATGAATTAGTGGTTTTTACCGCGAGTATGGAAATCTATGGTGCTGCAGTTGCCGATAGATTAGACGCTGGTAGGGGTATCTTGCCCAGGAGATTCTACAGGCAGCATTGTACTCCAGAGCTGGGATCATACACTAAAGATTTGAGTGCCATCTGCAATGATCTCTCTAGTATTTTTATACTAGATAATAGTCCAGGTGCATATAGAGCATACCCAGGTAAAGTACCTAGAAAATAGTAGTATTATAGTATTTCCCTATCATTTTTATGTACCAGGTTGTTCAATTTTGTTGTTGGATAAGGGATGATGCTATTAGTTTCGTCTCTTAAAAAAGAGGTTATTTAACTATAAGGTTAACTCATTTATATGGTGGATTTTCTGTTTGCAGTTAAAACTGCAGAAGAAAACTTAAAGAAAGGTTTTTATATAATTTTGATAAAATTTGACCAATCATCCAGTCTCTATGGTTAAATCTATTACTATTTACAATGGCGCCTGCAACAATTTTTTGGTAAAGAATATCTAATCCCTTTTCTCAAACTACTCGATTCTTTCTTGTAACTGCACAGATGAGAATTGGAAGCATCACTTTCTTATCGTCGGCTATGGACATAATGAATTAATGCAAAATAATTGCAATGTAACGACAGATCTTATGACCACACACTATGTAGAGTATCAAACGCAGTCCCATGCGTGTTTCTTAATAAAATAAACTAAAATATAAATAAAATAAAAATAAATAAAATAAAATAATGGAATTTAATTTTAGACGATAATAAAGCTATGTTTCTCCTCCTCGATCACTCCTGGAGTGCCACATTCTGTTTTTTCAATCTGCAAAGGATTTATTTGATTTTTAATGCCTCTGGTGCCATAATAACTTCAATAAAAATCTTTTGGATCCTGCTCTGATTTAATTGTTTCGTTAAAATAGACTTATCTTCCTGTGGATTATAAAAAAACTTGTGGAAACAAACATTTCTACAAAGCAATCATCTAGGCAACCTGTATCTACATTTCTAATATAGAGGTTATATTCCTTCGTTTATCAAAATTAGTTCCATGGAAAGAGAAAGCTGATGAAACTACAGTCCTCTTACTTTCGAAGACATAGAAACAGTTGCTATTTGACTAAATACTGCAGAAGGTTTGAGTCTCTTCTTTGTATTTCTCCTTGTAATCAATTTTCTGTAGAAACCAGTTCCTTATTCTTTACATGTTTGAATTGCAACAAGGCTGGTTGATTTAATGATCACATTATGAAGTTTTGTGTAGATCTATTCGTAAAATCGTGCTTATGATTAATATGATAAAACAAATTACTAATTGTAATAATATTATGATTAATTTATTCTAAAACGCATTATGGATATTTTCAGATAATGCAATTCCCATAAAATCATGGTTTTCTGATCCGACAGACATAGCTTTGCTCAATCTTCTTCCAGTTCTCGACGCCCTCAGGTTCACGACAGACGTCAGATCTGTATTGTCGAGAAATTTGCATTTGCATAGGCTATGGTAGATAGGTGAGTAACCCTTGACTACATGAAACCATTTTTAAAACAAACAAAAGCTGTAGAAGAAGAAAGGTCAAAGCACATCATAGATTTAGTGATTTCAACCATAATTAATGGATAAATATGAGGAGCGATTAATTACAGGGACCCGATCCGTCAACTGCGCATGTGCGAAACGACTGCGTTCGAAATATTTCGAACCTTCAAATGAAAATAGTTCCCTATTTACGTAATTAGTAAATATGTCAGTGAACTGTTTTGAATATGGTAAAATTTTCTCAAATCAGTCTAATATGCTGATGCAATGTGGAGAAAATGTGCATTTAAATAAGTGGAAGATTTCCAGTAGCTTTTTTTTATGGAAGAGTATTGAAGAATTAAGCTGTTTTAAACACGTTTTAGAACGAGACAACTTTTGAAAACATCCACCTGAAGACAACGATTTTGCCAACCCATACAAGATTAACCGTAATATGTCATTTAAATTTAGTTCATTCATAATTTGTTTACTTTCAACAACAATAAATAAATTTAAGTTTATAATAATACTTATATAATAATTTATTATAATCAATATCTTCACTCATAAACATATTGTATTACGTTAAATATTTTAAACTATCTGGTGCAAAGTTAACAATCTCCATAAGCTACTACAACAAAATAAACAATCTGACGATTAATATCAAAGTCGTCAATATACATTAGGTTAATGTGATTTTCTTTCTTATTACTCAGAGTACAAGTTATTTATTCTCTATATTTTAGTTATGAATGTAACAACTATGTACCTGTAGAAATAAATATTGTAAAATTTCCTATTTTTATTTCTAATCGTGCTCAGATTTTTTTAGGTTGGGATTGTTCATCGTTGTCACTTTTGTTGAGTTGTTCGGTGCTTTTGATGTCATTTCAAGATTGCACATGCGCAGTTGACGGATCGGGTCCCTGTTATTAATTGCTCCTTAAATATGTATTATTATTTTACCAATTAAAATCTAAATGTATTACAGTTGACATGACAACTGACAGATGACATTCGCGCTGAAATAATAAAAGTTTGGCAATAAATGAACTATGACGTGCCACATATCACATAACATTGCTTACATGTTTGTCCCATAAAAATGTCAGTAATGTATGTTGAATGTAGCTAGTGAAAATATGTATTTAAATAGCCAAATCAGGTGAACCGATGTAAACTACAATTTTGTTATATTTTTATAAAGTAATTCCACCTATGTGCATTCTTTAGACCTGTTTTTTAGTCAGTATATTTATATTTCTGTTTCACCAGGTTCGGCAATCTCTAACTATGAGGTTTGTTCATAAAATAAGTCCTTGTAATCATGAGGAAAACTTTTAGACTTCATCCCTCTAAATGATAGAGTAGCAATGTTGAAATTACAAACAACTTGCAGAAAACTAAATATTATTCAGGTCTATACTCCAACAAGTAACAAGTTAAACGAAGAAGACGGCGTTGATTGTCCTACAGTCCAAGAAGCAATGAGAGCTGCTGAGACCATATCCAGGTTTTACCAGTTCAGGAAGGCATCCACAACTACCAAAAAAGCAGCTCAGATTATTAAGGAAACTACAGAAAAACTTTATTTTTTGGAAAGGGTTGTGCAGAAGAAAATGACTGACTTTTTTTCAACTTTAGAGAACTTTTTCATAAAAAATGAAAGTTTCATATACAGGATGTTTTATTTCTTAATTTTTTATCCTAAATATGCAGCTGTAATAAAATTTTGCCTCGTTAAAATTTCATTTTTTTCTATCTTTTTTATAACGTCACTCTGATATAGCGTCATTTTTTTTACTGAGCCCTTCAATGACGCTATCACCAAGTTCCACTGTATTAATAATTGTATGAAGATGTTTTTCTACGTGAAAAACTTATTTTTTGAACAAACCTCGTAAATTCATTTGTACTATCTTGCACATAACATTTTAAAATATCATTTTCCCCTTAAATCTTTAATAATCTTTGCAAATTTTTAATGCAGGTGCACACACTGAGATGTAACTGGATGATACGTTACGTCGCAACTTCCTATTATTCGTCAACATGAAGATTTTATTTTTTTGAGTTTAACTTATTTGAGAACTTTTTGTAAAGGTTTTAAGTGAAACTGACAGCGCGGATAGTCTTTAATGCGTTTGGTAAGACACGAAAACTTGCAAGTGTTTCAAAGTTAACTATTCAACAACTAATGCGTTAGTGTCAGTGAGCAACGAAGAAATGAAATTGGTACACAACAATGGACGGGCATGTAGAAATGCATGTAAGTTAAGGAATATTTACTATTTTCTAACATTTCTTACATGTTTGTCCCATAAAAATGTCAGTAATGTACATAAAGTCCAACTATGAGATCTTTTTAGTTTATCTTTTCTAATTATTCCATAAGACTGGCTCTTTTATTGCAATACTTTACAGTAATTTCTATTACTTCCTGGTTTTTTTTGTGGAATACTACTTTTTATCATTTTATGGTTGTTAGTTCCACAAAGATACCATTTCATTCTTGATTTGTTTCTGTTTTGTGAGAGGATTTTGTATTATTTTACCTTCACTAACCCCAATTCGTTCTTATGTGTGAAAATTTAGCACATTAACTTAACCCATTAAACCTTTTACATGTCGTGGAGAGATCATGACATCCAAGTGTAACTGAGGACATTTTGAGAGCACAATATGGACTAAAATAATCAAGAAAAAGATTCTAAAATCGTTAATAAAAAGAAAAGTGAAGACTTTCCCAGACCTAATGGAGATTACTAGCGAAGATCTATGTAAAACAAAGAACACGAATATTCCAAATTCCTTTCTATTTATATACAACCTAATCTAAAAGATTCAGGTGTTCAGGGAACTGGATTTTTTCACGATATATTGGAAGATCCAATTGTTGATAAATATTTGCATCATTTGCCATCATACATTGGTAATGACATGGCGAATGGTGCCTTCCAAGTCGTTACTTGTGCCTGGCTAATGGCTTGTAGACTGGGAAATAGCCTAGTAGTGTAAATTCGAACTATCTTGTCCATAAACTGCGAATCTATCCAGTTCAGAGATTCCAAATTTGAAATTAAAGGCTCACCCATTATTTCCTTTAATAAATCGATTGTAGCATGCGCTGTGTGATATGTTGCATCCTTTTCTTGACACCGTACCTCCTCCATATCAAGGATATTCAATTCGGGAACATAAAGATTATCGATCATGGCACTATAGCAATTTCAATTGACTGTAACCTTGTGACTGGCTTCGTTTTCGAAAACATAAGGACCAATGATTCCACCGGTTATTTTTCTTTTATCGGTCATTAAATGAAAAATGAGCTTCATCGTCCACTCATGGACTCATTCGGGTCTTCCTCGATGCTAACGCCTGCATCAGCAATAGCTTCTTCGACACCCTTCGTTCAGTGAGTACCGAAAAAGCTATTGTCCAATGAAATGTACACAGCCTAAAAGAATGAGGAAAAAATAAATGTAGCACTTGTCGGTTCGTTATTGTTGAACGAAAATCCAGATGGGTCAGTTTCATTTGTAATTTATTTGTTAATTTATTTATTTTTTAGTTGATTGATGTTTGTGTAATAGGAAATTATACTATATTGTAAATATTATCATAGACGAATCGCTATGATGTAGTTAATGTATTCAGTAATCAGATCACGTGAGTTTATTTTCTGTTTCTGTATGTATTCTGTTTTGATTTCGAAGCGTTTAATAAGGTAGTAAATATGTACATAGTAGCTTTTGGATATCAACTCTCCATTTTTAACATTTTCTATATAGTAGTTTAAGATACAAAGTAGCTATAGTTTATAAACGACAAAATTTTCTAAAACTGTACCTTATTAAACGTCATGTTTAGGTTTGTAGAAAAAACCAAAGACAATGTATGTAGTTTTAACTATGAATATGTACCTAAGGCCTATATAGCTCATGACAAATGATCAAGAATAACGGTTTTTATTTTTCTCTTTGAGGCAGAGACCAAGAGGACTGAAAGTGTAGCAATGCCTTACTATAGAAGAGTAAAGCAACAATATGATCCGGCTTCTCTGAAAACCTTTTAAAGCCTAAAAAGAAGAAAAAATATCTTTTTGTTATTTAAACAGTGCTAGAAATGATTATAGTATTTTTTATTGATCAGCATGAAATGATAAATATTGATTTTAATAATTTTTTAAATAAAATAATAAATAAAAATAAATTTAATTCTTTTAAATATTTTCGTCAGTATCATTAATAGTAGATATACAATGTATGTTTTGGACCGGAAGTGACGTCACACCATAGTAACAAGTCTGTCAGCTGTACCTATCGAACGTATAATATGTTTAGATCTCGGCAAGGATGATGGTGTTTTGCAAGAATGAAGAACCCATTAAAATTTCTTTTTACACTTTTTACAGTCACTAAAGACCAGAGAATTTGCCAAATAAAAAGTATTTTTCGTGACACTTAACAATGTTTTAATAAATTTTCAAAGGATTAAAATCAGTTTTTACATATACATATATTGTTATAGTTTGAATTGGTCTAAAATATTTAAAGATCATAATATAAATTAAATTTCATCGACCAATAAACCTGGTTTTAATAAATAAATATTAAAAATTTTTTGTGTGAATACTTTTGAAAAGAAGAACACAAAATGAAAGAAGAAATTGCGTCAGTTATTTACTAAAATATCTTTTTTTCCTTGTAAGTGTTATATTTTTCTACATTTATTCGTATTTGCAACTAGAAAGTTTTTTTTTGCACTAAATGCGAAAAAAATTCTAAAAGACACGCAGTGGCGCCATCTGTAATAAAGTTTTCGTAATTATCGAAAAATCCACGCAAATAACTGCATATTTCTTTCGAAAGTGAGACTATTGGTGTATTGATTTGTTTGAAGACGATTTTGCAACGGTTCTTGGTAAAAATAATAAAGAAAATAATATAATAATTAAACAAACCCTAAATGTCAAATATGATTTCTATACAAAACGGCCTATTTGGTCTCTATTTGGGTGTTTTTGTACATAAAATTAGAAGTTATCAGCAAAAGTCTTTAATATAAATTAAATGAGTATACAACAGAGTTTTCTGCATCAGAAAATTGGATTTACGATATAAATATTGATAAAGATCGTGTCCTTTTTCCATTTCTCCTTGGATGTTGTGTTTTTGGTGTACATAAGTAGTTAATAATTTTAATTATAGAATTTTTAAAGAGAAAACGAAATGGCAGATCGGTGCATTTCGAGTATATAAAAGAAATTGTTCGTAGTCGTCAATAAAGGGTAATTTTCTTAGGTTTTTGTTTAAAGATAAATGTATCAAAGGAAATCATGACAAAATGAAAGAATAGGTCCGCGATATTAATTTTGATTTTAAACAAAAGTTTATGGATCAAAATAAAAAACTGGAAGTAATTTTTTTTAGTTTCTACAATCTTGGAATATAAATACATATGTCAATAAATAGATTTTTTTTTTTTTCAAAATGTACAATTGAACATTGATATAATATAAAGTTGAAATCAGTAGATCCGCTGAAAAATAGTAGACATGGTAACCCTGCGAGAGGTAGTAAAGGGCAATGTACAGGCATCAAAACATGGCAGTCACATCGAAACTGGCTTCACTTTGCGAAGGTTTATTAAATGAACGTCGCCTGTCCTCTCTCTTTCCTTATAAGACAGACAGTGTTGCCGGATCGTACATATACATCTAACTCTCGATTCCAATGACTTTATTTTATTCTTGTCCTGACTAATCTCGCAAATTAGTTTTTTATATTATTTTTAGTTTTCGATGGCAAATATGCTATTTGGTTTGTAATGCTTACCATCTTTATTAAAAAAATGAAAGACAATTCGATATTTATATTTCATAGGAAACACAGGTTCGTTAGTAAGAAAATTACACATTATTGACAGTTCTCCATTGTACATAAAGGTTGTATAAATAAGCTAGTTTTCGATAACTTTAAAAATGTTTTTGTTTTCTTTATTTTTGAAATGTATACACAACCAAATTCGAACATAATTGTACTTAATTTTATGATATTACATTAAATTTGGCATGACAAAGTTGAATACAGTGGGCATAAAGCTATCAGATTCATTCAGTAGGTTACAGAAAAGTTGAAATACGATACGAAACTGGAAGTTAGCGTTTGTGAACCAGACTAAAGCTTTCGAACAGTCGATAAAGGTAGGTATAACGTTTCTTCTTTTTCTTTCAGTGCCCTGTCCGATTATCGAACGTTGGCGATCATATTGGCAATAATAGCTTTGTTTACTGCGGCTCTAAATAAATTAGCGGTGGTCTTTTGATACCATTCTCGGAGATATCGGAGCCAGGATGTTCTTCTTCGCTCTGGACCTCTCCTTCCAAACTGGTTCCGTTATGTTGTGTCCAATTCGTTTGTTTGCACATTGATGCCAATACAAATTTTTGATAATAGGCAGGTCTCTGTCATCAATTCCCACCTGTTGCAAAACACCTATTAGTTTGTTATGGTTTTACTCGGTCAAAGGTTTTTTTTGGAAGTCGATAAAACACATATACCGATTGTGCGATATCCCTACATCTTGGAACCATGACCTGCAAACTGAAGAATACTTATCTGGTTCCAAGGTTGTCTCTGAAACCAAAGTATGTTGCACTTAATTGTACTTTTATTGCAGTATTCTTAGGAAAATGTTCAGTACATGACCAATCAGGCTGACAGTGTGATGATCGCTACACTGTTTGGCATTTATTTTTTTCGGTATCATTACAAATGTTGATAGTAGCCAGTCTGTTTTCCATTTTATTGAAGAGGCTTAGAAGAAAATATTTACCCTTATCGTCGAGTAATTTGATTATTTCGCTTGGAATTTCATCGAGACCAGTTACTTTTATATTCTTTGATAGCTTTATAGCTCTTTCCATTTCATCGAGTGTTATGTTCGGACCAGTCGATATATTTTCGATTTGAATTTCTGTTCTATCGTCATCAAACAGCTCCTCAATATATTCTTTCCACCTCTCTAATCTGTCTTGTTCATTAACCATAATATTTCCTTGTTTATCGTCTTGTTTTCGTCTAATTTCAATTAGTCACAATATTTCATCAGTCATTCATTGTTGTTTGCGCTTACTAATAGTTTTATACTTCTTAGTTGTTTCTTGCATAATGGTTTTGATATGATCCCAGTAGTCTTCGATGTTATGTGTTTTTTCCGATTTTTCATTTCACTTATCCCAAGAACTGGTATATTGAGCCATATTATCTCACATATGGTGTTTTGTATCTTACCGGGCATGTAGAGACTTCTCACATTCTATGTGCCTATTCCGATACCTGGTTTTATTCTTATTTCTTTTCTATTATCACAGGGATTTCGCTGGATAACGACCTGGGAAGACATGTGTGCTTGTCTTCTCTTGCCGGATCTTGGTATCGGATGACCAATGATCCCTACACCTTTTCTTATCATATTATTATGATAGTACTATTAAGATTGAACTAGGGAATAATAATGGGGTAGTTTCCCTTTGCCTTCCCAGTATCACAACCATTTAAACTGCTCCAGTCATGCTTGTGATAGTCCAGTTTCAAGCCGATCCAGAATTAATTCCTATGAGTTTTGAGCTGGTACTAATGATCGCTGCTGCCCTTCATCACATATAGTGATTCTATATAATCCCTAAAACAAGGGATTGCCACTTCCGCCATCCACATTGTACCGAAGGAATTCTTCCCCGCTTGGCTGCCGTTGTGAACTTCATTCGGGACCCTGACCAGGTACTAGTTTCCCGGGTCAGGAAACACCTGGAATGTGCGGAGGGCAGGGATTGATTCATTTTTCCATAGGACTATCCAAAGGAGTTCTACCCGCTACCCTCAAAATCTGATTATAAATATTGATACAACGGCTTAGTAGGCTGGCAGATTCACTTATATGTGAATATTTTACCGCATGCCAGCAAGAGAAAATATTCAAAATCGTTGAGTATAAATTCCAACAATAATTGGCGATTTTGTAATTCGAGTCAGTCAATGGGTGAGTAGTACGTTGAGAGATGGTGACTGGCAGCTTGTTGACGTAAGATATTTTTGTACACGCTATATCGACACAACTTTTGCTGTATTTAATGTAAAATCATTCAGCCTTCCGTATCTTCCAAAACTCTTTAAAGATATTACGTATAAAACAGCATGGATTTTAGTTTCCCCGAAACAGCAATACTCGCAGTTTAGTTGAGTTGAAGTTGTGATAGATAGGTTTTAGTTACTATATAAATAATTTTTTTTACGATTTGTATTAGCTGTAATATACAATGAAAGACGGAATTGTTTTCCGTGGTGTATAAAACTTGTGTTGACTTTTTGAAATGTACATAGTTCTAGTATAAGTTTGTTGTGTTAAGCAACGAGAAGTATCTCGGTTGAATTGTTCTTTTTTTAGATAGAATAAAAACATTAAAAATATCACAACGTCTTGTTTAATCGACATTTTTCAGAGTAACTCTGCCAGGAACTTTTTCTGGCTAAAATTGTGTATAGATCTGGTCAATTGTGTATAGCGAGTGGTGAATCATCAAACGGACCACAGGAAATTATACGCTGTAGAATTCATGCTTACTTAATTATTTTACGTCAAAAGTCATGGAAAACTATTTGTAGAGAACTGAAATATGTATCGAAAACATGTTAAAATTGTTCTACGAATTAAAAACATTCCAAAATTGTGCACAAATATACATTTAACAGAGTATTGTTGTAAAAGTTAAGCCACTTATAATGCAGAATGTGTATAACGATTTGCGTTCGGTAACAATGAAGTTAGTTATTAGAGCTGTGGATTTTCTAAGTGGCTATGACCTTGAAAATATCTGCACGTCAGCTCGTCCAAAATTAATAAAATTTGTACATTTGCACATGTATGGCCGTTAAACCTTTACCGCATGAATTTTTGTTTTTTGTCAACCATGGAACATTATGCAACAATGTAATATTAAAGTCCAAACTATTTTGAAGCTACAGTATACAGTATGAAACTGCAAATAAAAGTTTCTTTCTTTATTGATACACAACGGTATTGTGCATTTTATGCACACTATATATGTTTTCCCTGTATAACCTGGAAATTTGATTCTTGACCTAGTGCTCTCATCTCAATAGGGAAAATGATCAAGCCCATCTTTCCGGATGTCTTGGGGTATTTCTTTAGTGGGCCCCTTTTTCGTTTGTTCTCGTATATCTGTCGAATGCTACTACTTGACGGTCTTCCTACTCTGTTCTGTTTAATTGATTTTTATACGATAAAATCCTAATGTGGAATCAAGGATATCTACACATCCCATGTAGTTGTAGATTAGGACAAGGTATCATTTTATGTATACTTTCTTGTTCTAAAAAATCTTCTTTTTTCTCCCTTTGGTTCACTTCCAGCATATGTTGACATTGTAGTAACGCTTTTATTATCAAACCAGGACACTACACTGACATCCACATTATCTATTTTCTCTTATGAGTAGTCGTTCTTTGATTTGGCTCAGAACAGGTCTAATTTTGAATAATCTGTTATGTCCAGGCTGATCATT